ATGTTGCCTGAGTTGCCCTGGAGAAGTACAGACATCCATCACCGAGCTGATGGTGTTTATGGGTTTAAACTGGGGCCTTTTATATTACAGAATGAGGGAGATTTCTGTCTTTCAGTATAGTATCAACATGAGTTTACATATTTATTTAAAGGTAGTATTTACATGGTGTGAAAGAGTATATAGCAAAGTTCAAGAAGAGTGATAGTAGTGAGCAAAGCTTTCCAGCTGAATGAAGGATGCCAGGAAATAATTGCAGAATCACAGAATCATTGAGGTTGGAAGGGGCTTCTTCAGATCATCTGGCCCAACCTCCCTGCTCAAACAGGATCAACTGGAGCAGGTTGTCCAGCACTGTGTCCATGGGGTTTTGAGTATCTCCAGGGATGGAGACTGCACAACTTCTGTGAGCAAACTGTTTGTCCTGATTTCAGCTGGGATAGAGTTAACTGTCTTCCTAGTAGCTGGTGCAGTGCTGTGTTTTTGAGTTCAGTACGTGAAGAATGTTGATAACACTGATGTTTTCAGTTGTTGCTCAGTAGTGTTTAGACTATAGTCAAGGATTTTTCAGCTTCTCATGCCCAGCCAGGGCACCTGACCCAAACTGGCCAACAGTGTATCCCATACCATGGGACGTCTTATCTAGTTTAGGAACTGGGAAGAGGGGCGCAGGGAATCGCCGCTCGGGGACTGGCTGGGTGTTGGTCGGCGGGTGGTGAGCAATTGCCCTGCGCATCATTTGTACATTCCAATCCTTTTATTACTACTCTTGTCATTTTATTAGTGTTATCATTATCATTATTAGTTTCTTCTTTTCTGTTCTATTAAATCGTTCTTATCTCAACCCAGGAGTTTTACTTCTTTTCCTGATTTTCTCCCCCATCCCACTGGATGGGGGGGGAGTGAGTGAGCGGCTGCGTGGTGCTTAGTTGCTGTCTGGGGTTAAACCACGACACTGTTCTAGTGAGATGAGAGACAGATGACATAAATGGAATCAAGAGAAATTCAGGCTGTAGGTAAGGAAAACCTTTTTCATCATTAGGAGGTAGTGGAAGTGGTTGCCAAGAGAAGTTATGTAGTTTCCATCCTGGGAGGTTTTCAAGACTTTAGTGGGTAAAGCCCTGAGTGATGTGGTGTGCTTACACAGCTGTCCCTTCTTAGAGGATGAGGTTGGATTAGAGACCTCGTGGGCACCCTTGCCACTGAAGTTAAGCTTTCATAACTTGATCCTATTATTTTCCTGAATGTACCCCTGGGAGGAAAATGTTTACCTTTTTGTAATCATTTATTTTAACCGATTACTCTCAAACAGTTGTACATGCTGTAATTCAGTAAGAAATGCTACTTTTCTAGTGGAGCATGAAAACTATTTAAGCAGAAGTATGGTAAAGTGAATTACCTTTTTAAATAATTACATCTCGTGAACCTTTCAGAAGGCACCTTAAGGCCTTCTGCCTCTTCCAGTGTGGCACAAATACCATAATGAAGAAGCAAATTCATTAGGTGGCTCAGACTACAACAGAGGAATCACCATGCAGGTTTCTGCTGTCCTACCATTTGTTTGCTGCAGAGAACTTTGAACTGTGAGTTTAGATCTGTACATTTAAACCATTATCTGAGAGGCTTCTCTCTGTCAGAGAAGACATATTCAGCATACTTGTGTGTATACATGTGTATGCTTCCTCAGTTAATCATCATTTCTGACTGAAGCTTGCATCAGTCTTTCTGTAATTAAGAATGTCAGAAAACTTGGTAATATTTAACACCTGTAGAGGCTTCAAAGCATCAAGCTTAGTTAGTGAGCGTCCGGTTAAGTTAATTGCCTTCGTACTTTACAATTGAGATCTTTTTCTTTACAGTCTTTTAAGAGATGCCTAACACTGTATCCTTAGTACTGGATTTTAGTACATCTCTTACCAATATCTTACTGTTGGTCATGAGACATATATTCAAATAAGACAACCTTTTAATTCAGCTGGTTTTGGAGATGTGATGCTTTGTTCCCTTTTTATCTTTGCTGAAATAATTTTAAAATAGTGCTTTTCTTTCCAAAAGATGCAGCTGTGAGGTCCATCTGTTCATCAGAAAATTTGTGCTTCATCTTTATTTAGACAAACTTCACAGCCTGAAAGAAGTTATGGCTACAGGGTTTGGGATGGGGAAGGGTTGTTCACTCTTCCCCATAGCTTTTGTGACCTTAAGAGCCATGAAAAATGGGCATGTAAGATGTAGCTGAGCTAGGTTTGATAAGGGTAGGGACTGCTCGAGCTTCTATTTATAGTTATGCTAAAATAGCTCAATCTTGGCTTGCCAGGAGACTTGCAGAAAATGAAGTAAAAAAAATTAGTAAACATTTCTAAGCATTTATGTTACTTCTTTTCAACATGCAAAAAATTCAGTGAGTAGAATTTAAATATCCACAGGGGCATTCATTGTTATCAATTAGACTTTTCCTCCTTCCTTTACTAATTCACTGCCATATATGCTATTCATTTCTCTGATTCTGCAGTCAGTAAAGTGTGCATGCTGCAGACAACAGCTTCCTTCATTAAGCAGTCTTACTGTCTTCCTAGGGGAGATACACTATATTTACTGAATGAGGGAACCTGTTTAGAAAATGTGCCTACATGATGTTACAGTGGACTGCTGCCCAAAAATAAGTACTTGAGTTAAGGTGGCTATCAATAGAGCTATAACTGCATTGGCCCAACACTCCCTGCTTGGCAATTATTTGTCAAATAGCCTGGATAAAACCCCACACCGAGGTAGATGTGAAGTCTGTGGATGCTTGAGAGCCCAAGTATCATTATACCCTACTACAATAAGCAGTGTAGGCATACCTTGTATGGGATTATGTAACTAATTTGTAGCCTGGCATAGAGGAGCAGAGGGGCTAAATTGCAATTGTACATCACTTTTATAGCACTTATCTGGAGGTATTTCTAAATGTGATCTGTGCTCAGTGAATACAGTTGCTGGCTGTGAAAATGCAAACATAATGTTGTATGTGCTCACTGCATAATGCTTTCCCAGAGACTTCTATCTTAAAACCTGGTTTCTGAAATTTACTCTAACAGTAGTATCAGAGGGCTTTGTTAGTGTTTCATATATTCTTGGTCAATAGTCTGTTAGTGAATGAACTTGTTTGTACTAGCTCAAAATGTTAACTTGTTCATAGGTACTCCTTTTCTCAGACCTAGGCTGCCAGAAATATTAAAATTTGTAACTGAGGAGAGAAGTGGCCAATACAAAATAACTTTTTTTTTTTCCACTTCATGTTAAAGCATAAATCCATTTTTTTGAAAACACAAATGCACAGTTGTCATTGGTTAAGGGCTGTATGAGTTACAAATGAATTTTCTTTTGTCTATGCTTATTGGGTGTCTTGCAAAACTTTTCTTTTGGATATATCCCTCTTGAAAAGGTTTTAAATCACACAAGAAATTGTTTCCAAATTTTATGTATGTGGCAAGATTTCAATCTAACTCTCTAGACTTTGTGTGAAGCACCAGCCTCACCAATAGTCCTTGAGGTGTTTATTATACCTTCCTATCTAGATGAGTAGGTCATGTGGAAATAAATATGCATATGTTTACTTAAATATATTATACATAATTTTATTTTCATTCCTGGTAGTTTGTAAGCTTGGAGACTTATAAACAGAAATGGAGCTAAAAAATCTGTGCAAGGTATTCACTCTGGAAAGCTTTAATTTTCCCCAGTGAGTGACACATTTGTCTTCTGTCTGCAAATCTGGAAAATTTATTTAAATGTATGCTTCCTCTTTCCTTTACATAGAATTAATGTAGATAAGAATTAGGCACTGAAAGAAAGAGTAAAATCAAATTTGATAGAAGAGTCACAGTTGAGAGCTTGGTGAAAACCTGTCTTTTTCTTACAAGTACAAGAAGAGAAGAGTTATCATAGTATCTTTTACTTCTATTTGATCTGAATTTACTAATGTAAGTATGTAGAGTACAGTATGTAGATTAAACCTTCAAAGCATCTTTTGGTTGTCTGAAGAGCTATATGTGAATTAGGAGTTAATTCTGGTTAGTAAATTTTGCATTAGTAAGTGGGATTTCTGTATTCTTATGCCTCAGGATGCACGCTGTTTGCCCCAGACATCAATTAGCATGCCTTTCCTTCCCCCCTCCCTTTGCCTTTCTGAAATGGGGTTCAAATGACAAACTAGTTTCTCTGAGTATGGGGTCATATGCATAGTGGGCTTAAATCGTTCAATGCATGTACACAGCAGACCAGTATGCTCCTGTTGAGTCTTGCTTGAGGCTTTAAACTTCTATGGTTATGAAGATGTTCTTTGAAAATTGACTGTGAAATTAATTCTATGTGTGTATATGTTCCCTGTCACCAAAGCCGGGGGCTGGAGTGGAGGGTGGCCCATTGTTATCTCATTTTCTCTTAGGAGTCCCAGCTCAGACTCAGTTCTGTTGTCACTTTTTCCTAAAAATACCTTTATTTCAACACCTTGCCTCAACTGAGACCCTGTTTCTGCTGCTCAGTTCCTCCTGTTTTGTCTGGAGGCTGTTGTCAATGTGTTTCTTGTAATGTGTGTGTTCCTAGATGGTTTTGTTAACCATTGTAGCCAACCATGCCTATCTCATGCTGTCCTCACAAAAGCAAATCCTTTTGTGTTGTGATAAGAATTTAAAATTTTACCCAGATGGGTCTCTGAAAATAGAAAAAGGCTTGTCTTCAGAGAGAGAAGGAGGTGCATGGTAGAGCTCTCAAAGACAGTTTCTCCTTACCAGTTTCCTCCAAAAGATGGGATGAGAGAGGCGAGAGAGACCCAATTAATTTTCCACTGAAGGAAAAGCACCAATTTGCTTTTAATTGGACAACAAAGTATTCAACAATAAGGAGCCAGGTTTATGCAGTTTGTTCGCTGTAGTCTTTAGTTCTTGTATGCCTGACTTAAATGTAAGTTCTACAGGTCTTCCCCCTTGCCTTCCCCCCAGTGAGTAACCTCTGTCAACATTTCAAGGCAGATTTGCCAGAGAAGAGATGGGAGGCTCAAAAGGCAATTTTTGATAGGGTATTTAGATTTGGTAGTCTCTAAACTCCTTAGTTCCATCTATTTCTTGCTTGATAGGACCTGGTCTTTTAAGTAAAACTTTCCTACATGAGTACTTGCATCTTCAGCTTTCATTCCTGCTGCTCAAAGATAAGATACTTTTCTAAAAGAGCTAAGGTGGCTTTGCCCCAGGAAAGAAAAAAGTGAAATTGTTTTAAAGACTGCTACTTGAAATTCCATGTATATCTACATTATTCTGAAAGGTCATTATAATTAAGCCTGGAAACAACGTATCTCCTGCTGTTTGTATTTTAATAAGATTTTTTTCCTCTAGAAATGAATAAACAAAAGCCTGTTGAATAGATACATAAAAAGAGGGTCTATAATACATTCACCAAACTGTCTCCCACCACCACCACCAATTTGTCTTTGGATAAATCAAATTGTTCGAAAGTACACGTATGAATATCTAAGGCATATGTAGGTCAATATGTATGTTGCTTAGACTTTCAAAGCTATTTTCACATGTGAGTAATATTAGCATATCACATTAAATGGGAACTACGTTTGAAGCTGGCCCATGACTTGCATAATAAATGTAGAATACTGGAATTAAAGTGCTTAGTCTAGCCCGTTACCAAAAGTACCCATGTATTGTCTATTCTTTTTAAATAAACCAGCTGACATAATTCCTGTTGGAAGATGCTTTTGATGACCTTTTGAAAAATAACATTTGGTCATGTTCTGAATTTTTTTGCCAGGTAAATGTAAAGCAGTGAAACATTGTGAAGCATATAAACATTGCTCTAGTTTCTAGTTATCATGTACTAGGTAACAGGTGCAAACACTTTGTTGAAGCTTCTTAAAGCTTTCTCTCATGCTAAAAATTTTTTACTTAACCTTGTAGCTGGTTAAAATAAAGGGGTACTTCACAGTATTATTTTTTTTATTCAACTACTTAGAAAGATCTTCCCTTTTAAACTACTAGCTACACTGAGGCAATATAGAGACCCACACTGTGTTCAAACATAAACAATCAAGGGTGAGTAACGGTGCCTTATTCCAACTTACTGGGGATTTGTTTTTCTGCCTGCCTTTTTGTTTTTCTTTCTAATATTAAGGCAGCATTATTTAATGCTAAGAAGACTGTTACCATGATGGCTGTGCCATGAGAGGAGGCAGCCATCAGATGGACAGCAATAGGGAGCTATTTCTGAAAACAGCTTGTTTTGGTTTTGATCACCTGGGATGCAAGTCTGCCTTTGTGAATTATTTGAACTCTGCATGTTGATAAAGGTGTTTGCTGCTTTCCAAGAATGCTAAAATATACTTAAGCAGTTTTGATGCTAAAATTTGTGAAACCTTTATTAAATAAAATATTAATCTGAAAATACCCTGTCTAGCTGCACAAAGATTGAAAGTCATTCTTGTGAAGCTTAATGTTGCTCTCAACAGTTTCCCCTTGATGATGAAGTTTTAATGTAGGGATTTTATTTTTTAATTTGATCATTCTAAGATAGAATTCTGAAGGTTACAGAAGAAACAGCTTATTAACATGGACAGATATAAAGAATGTCTTTATCATGCACACCTCTGTCAGCATCAAGTGCTGGAATTGCAAGTGGTAGTTGAGATGCATGCTTTAACCTGAAGGAAGATTTATATTTTTACCCAGATTATTTATAAGAACAAAAGCGCTAACCTGAAGTCCCTTAAAAACAATTTACATAACTGTTAAAAATGTAAAGAAAGCTTATTATTATAACGCTTGCAGTATTTATGCAGCATCTAGTACCCTACATAAATTGGCTAGAAACGTCTGTCTACTTCTGCAAATACTATAGCTTGCATGACTGCATTAAGAGTCACGAATCTGTAACTGGAATTGAGAAAACGTGAACTAGTCAAGATATAGGACATAACTAGTCTGACAAAGACGTGGACTGCTTACAGGTTGATTTGGTGACTTCTCTAACAGCACTTAGTCTATTATAAAGTAGAAATAATATTGCTTCAAAATCTGAAGGCATAAAGTAAGTGTCATTTTCCCTCCTACTCATGGTTTCACAGAAGATTCACTTTTTGAAAGCGAGAAGTATGGTTAAAACATATTTTTTAAAAATGCAGTCTTTTGACATACACTGCTGTAGTTAAAAGGTGGCATACAAGATGATTTGATTGTTGAAAAGTCAGTTCTACTTGACAGAAAGACTGGCCAGAAAATTTTTTCTTGGGATGGAATTTTCTAGGAAGAATTGCAGTTAGAAAGTAGGTGTTGAGAAATGCTGTTTGTTTTGTTACTGTGCAGTGTTTCATAATAGCTTTCATTATAAAGCAATGAGCAAAGTTAAGGGTAAATTCCTGTGTGGGAGAAGGGGCATATAGGCTTTCTAATTCTCTTGATATATGCTGCTATGCAACATACGGAGCATTGGAGTACACAGTGCTTGTTCTAATGCTTTTTAGCTTGCTGCAGATCTCGGCAGAAGATTTTTTTTCAGTATACCTGTGTATGTGTCTGTTTGAGCATGTGCATATAACTTGCCAGGAGTTTAAAAGAATACAGTTAAAACCAAGAACAGTATAGGTTATTCACTACTAAGATAATACTGCAGGCTAAGAGTATTTAGTCATGTGTTGGAAAACAGGGAAAGAATGACCATTTACCTTGCAAAGGACATCATAACTGTCTCCAGTGATGCCCCCTTTTGTGCTCAGCCCAAGCTGGCACATGTTCTTTGCAAGCTCAGGGCTAGCTGATGTAATCCCAGCTAAGGGCTCCTGCACATGCGCCCAAATGCACAAGAACTCTGTACTATGTGAACATGTGTGAGGACTGAAAGCTTCATCTGAAAGAGAGATTAAATGAAGAGAGTCATGAATGAGTTGCTTTTATGTATTTGGAAGATTATGCATACCTTATACATAGTTTATACTTTTTTTTTTTTCATCTTTAAGTAGTAGCAAATCTTGAAAGGAATGTGCAGGGCCTGGATTTAAGTTGATTGTGGTGATAAGGATTTGGATAGACCTTTTATTTCCATCTTTCAAACAAACAAAACAAAGTTCTTTTTCCATTCTGTCCACTTGCTCTCAGTAGATGTAGTTGGCTGCTTAACATCTCTAAAGTTAATATTGTGTTTCCCAGAGCTTTTGCAAGTCTATTTTGGTCAGTACTTACTTTTTGTTTTTGTTTTGTCAGCAGCCATGCAGCAGGTCCTGGATAACCTGACTGATTTGCCAACATCGACAGGCGCTGAAGAAATAGACCTGATTTTTCTTAAAGGAATTATGGAAAACCCTATTGTAAGATCACTTGCTAAGGTATTTAAACTAGCTGCTCTGAGTAGAATCTGGAAATACTTTAACTCTTAAATTACTGTGTGAACATTGAGTATTGATTGAGGTATTAACAATGGCTTTTATGTATGGTACATCTTTAAAAGACTTCAAGGAGTTCTTGAAGGTGAAGATTTGGTATAATGTAATTTCTGTGCACGCTGATTTATTGTTATATGGAAGATTCTAGAGGAAGAAGAAAAATTCAGAGACTCCAGAAATAATGTGGTAACATTATTTATGAAGAAAATGTCAAAATACTTGAAATTAGAAGCAGTTGGTTTTAATATAGTCTTGTGACTACTGTTGTGTGCAAAACCCATATGCCTTGTGACTTTTAGCATTTTTGCCAAAGATGAAAAGTGAGAGCAATAACCTTCTTTCTCCCATGGTGTAAACAAGTTTTCTTTTTGTCTTTGGCTCAAAATGACTTTCTGATCAGCCCAGTGAAATATTCTCTCCCTGCCCTTTCCTGCATTCAGAGTAATGCTGGGACCTTTGATTTGTCAGCTCTCTGAGACATGGGCTAGCCTTAGGTTTGGTCTTGCATTATGAAAATTTATAGATGGTAGCAATCAATTATAAATATGTAAGGTGATATTTACAAAAAATCTTTGGACTCTGTAATTAAAATGTAGGTGATCTTACCAGTAGGAGATGCAGTCAATATTACACAGCGCTTACATTCTTTCTTAATCTTACTTCATAAAAATAAGCTCCTTTCGTGAAGAAAAACAGTTAACTTAAATGTACCTGTCTCTTTAATATGAATAGACATACGAAAGCAATGCCCTCTGGGCAGGCATGAAATACTCTGTAAAGCTAAAGGATTGTTGTGCAGGGATTTTGCTCAGTATAAAAATTGGAAAGGAAAACTTCTCATAAGAATTTATATAAGAATTTACTTCTGTTTAGCTGTTCAGAAAAATTGGTTGTAAGCGGAAGACACTGCATAGTAATGAACTTAGAAATAACAAGTGTCTCATCTGCTAGTGAGATGACTGCAGAGGGAAAGATTTGTGTACTAAATTTACTAGAGTAAGTATAAGCATTTTCTTAGAGTTGTTTCCAACTTCAGTATGTGCCGCCTAGGTCATCTTTAATTTAATATTTATCATGAAGAAAATGTTCATTGCAAAGCATTTTTTTTCTTATCAAGAATTTGTGTTTTAATGGCCAATTACAATTATGTGGAATTTAATGACTAGCAAATGTAAAAAAATGCTTGTAATGGAAACAGATTCTTAACTATAAACTTGCTTTATCTAGAATGCTGAAAGGTTTTAATTGTGGTCATATGGCATGACCACATTCATATTTTGTTTTGTAATTATTTCAGAATTAAACCCCAAAACTCAGTCCTAACCAGCAGAGCTAAATAAGGACAAGATCAGAATGACAACACATTTTGTGACAGATATATAGTTCATATATATCCATTTGTCTCTAAAAATATGTAAAACTTGTTTTTCCTATTAGAAGAGCTAGTTTTAACAGAATACGCAATTGTCAGGACCCTGAGATGGTCAGATTATTTAAGCAGATTCATTTCAGACCAGGCCAGAAACATAAAAGTTTTTAATTTTCCTTTATTGGTCAGTTATTAAAGACTAATCATTATGTAAAGTATCCCAAAAAGGGTAAAAAGAAACTTAGGGAAATGTACCATGAGCCGTACAAGCTTATTTTTCTTTTCAGTCCTTAAAAAAACCAAAGGCAAGCAATAAGCATAGTAGTTAGTTTATAATATTTTGCAATGTAAAGTTTGGCTAATCTTTTAACATTGCGTTAATTTCATATTTTTTTTTTCTGTCTAGAATAAAGGCATCAAGGTAGGAATTACAGATCTTTTTTGGAATAGGGTTCTTTTACTGTACCCTTCCATTCTTCAGTGAGTGGTAGGGCAAAGATGAAGTAACTGTAATTACTGTAAAATATATTTTCCTGTCATTTACTGACATTTATAGAATCATAGAATAGTTTAGGTTGGAAGGGACCTCCAAAGATCATCTAGTCCAACCCCCCTGCAATGAGCAAGGACATCTTCAACTAGAACAGGTTGTTCAGAGCCCCATCCAACTTGGCCTTGAATGTTTCCAGGAATGAGGCATCTACCTCCTCTCTGGGCAACCTGTTCCAGTGTTTCACCACCCTCACCATAAAAAAATTTCTTCCTTATATCTAGTCTAAATCTACCCTCTTTTAGTTTAAAACCATTACCCCTTGTCCTATCACAAAAGGCCCTACTAAAAAGTTTGTCCCCATCTTTCTTACAAGCCCCCTTTAAGTATTGAAAAGCTGCAATAGGTCTCCCTGGGTTCTTCTCTTCTCCAGGCTGAACAGCCCCAACTTTCTCAGCCTTTCCTCTGATCCATCCCTCTGATCATTTTTGTGGCCCTCCTCTGGACCCACTCCCAACAGGTCCATGTCTTTCCTGTGCTAAGGTTTATGTTCAATCCTAACTAGCCCTTGGAATTATTATGCTTTTTTGAAAACAGTTGTTGAAATTGGAACATGTATGATTACTCAGTTTTGCTACTGAGCTGTCTTACCAAAAATTTCTTCTCCTGGATTAACTGTTCTTTTGAACCTCAAAACTTTATCTGCTTTTCTGCAGTCACACTATTGCTTTTACTATTGTAGTATAGCCTACAGCATACTAGGTGAATGCCTAAGCCTGACCAAGGAAACATCGTAGGAGTGATCTATAAACACTTGAGTACAGTATTTAGGATGTCAGATTGTTGGAGGCAAAAGCCTTACTATTTGAACACTTGGCAAGTATAATAAATATTGAATGAATTAAAAGACTCAATTCAGTATCACTATTTCTGAAATGATGAACTGAACTGAAAAAAAAATAATTGCAATATCTAAGTTATGTAATACTTTTTTTTTCTTTTTTTTTTTAATTATTCATACCACTCCGTATTCTAGTACTCTCCAACGCACTACAGGATCAGAGGTTGTTCACTGATAAACTTTCTGTTCCCCAGTCTATACATGGTCTTGATTTTGGGGTGAAGGATGAGGATATTTGTATTTAGATTATACTCTGTGTTAGTGGTAGTATTTTAAATAAAATGAGTGAGAAAGAAAGTAACCCTTATTCTCTAATCTTATAAAGGTTTTGCAGTTGGAGTATGTTTAAAAGTCAATAGACTTGTGGTTTTACTTACTGTAAAAGTAGTAAACTTTAAAAGAAGGATATTGTTTACTGTATGTATTATGTACAAAATAGCATTCCCTTATCAAGGAGAATGTGTGTAGGTGCCCAGCTTCCTATGACTTTGTAATCATGGTCATTTGGATTGTGCGTGTTGGTGTTGGGAAATGTTTGAAATGCCTTTCTCTATGTTGTTAGCCTTTCCAGTGTTTGATCATCAGTCCTGCAGAAATACCATTTTATAGATATGAAGCAGAATTTAATACTCAGGTGATTTCAGGAAACAAAGTATTCTGGTTTTAGCAAAATTGTAATTTAACATCTGTTTTAAAGCACTCATAAGAAAGTAGATGTGTGTACATACCTTCAAGTTATATATATGGGAAGTATAGATAGATGACTCCCAGATAGATCTGTTCTTGTGGTTTTACATGCCAAAGCAATTGTTCTTTTTTGAACTTCTTGTTGCTACGGTGTTGTAAATAACTCTTAATTGGGTGAATTGAGAATTTTAGTTATTTTGGGCCTCCTCTTATTCCCTAATTTTATGATACAGCACTACTGTAATAAATAAGTGAAGCATTCAGATTTGTGCGATGTTACTCTTGCTGCTCAAAGCTCCTACCTTTCAATGAATTTAAGTGTCTGCAGTGGTTAGGAAAGGATTATGTCTGCAGCAATAGCTCTAGAAAGAGATTAAAAGTTATCACAGAATCACAGAATGGTTGAGGTTGGAAGGGACATCTGGAGGGCATCTGGTCCAATCCCCTGCTCAAGCAGGGTCACCTGGAGATGGTTGCCCAGGACCGTGTCCGGATGGCTTTTTAATATCTCCAAGGAGGGAGGCCCCAATCTCTCTGGGCAAACTGTGCCAGTGCTCAGTCACCCTCACAGTGGAAAAAGTGTTTCGTTATGTTTAGACAGAGCCTCCTGTGTTTCAGTTTGTGCCCATTGTTTCCTGTCCTATCACTGGGCACCACTGAAAAGAGCCTGGCTCCATCCTCCCTTGTACCTTCAAGGGTACAAGGTTTGTACCCTCCCTTCAGGTATTTATATACATTGATGAGATCCCCTCCACCCCCGCCAAGCCTCCTCTTCTCACCTCCAGGTGTGCCTCACCAGTCCTGAGTAGAGCTCGACCTTCTGGCAACACTCTTTCTTCTTAATGCTGCCCAGGATACTGTTAGCCACTTTTGCTGCAGATTTTTCTTTAGCGTTTCCTTTAGTTATGCAGACTTTCCTTTAGAATTTGCTGTTTGGAAGATTTTTGAATGAGAGGAGCCTGGGGTAGATGCTTCTCTTGTAGACTTTATTTTTTTTGGAGCAGATCCCATAGTTCCCTTTTTGTCCTTCTTCTAGAAGGTGTACTTGTACAGGGTTCTGAAACAGAAAAGATATGAGGCACTATACTGTTCAGAGGACTGTTTGTGTATATAGCATAGAGGTTATAGGAAATAAGGACACACAAGCATCTCTGACAGGTGCTGCTTATAGTTTATTGGGTCACATAGTTAAACATGCAAAATCCTTCAGCAGTTATAAAATATACAGATTATATTATATGTAATTTTTCTGGCTTTCCTGCTAAAGGTTGCATCAAGAAATTATTTAAAAGGCTTTTAAATTGGAACTACTTGAAAATTTATATTTACAGTATAGTCTCATGTATATAATCTTACAGGCACATGAGCGACTGGAAGATTCTAAACTTGAGGCTGTCAGTGATAACAACCTGGAGCTGGTGAATGAAATTCTTGAAGACATCAGTCCCTTAGTAAATAAAGATGAAAATATTGCAGAATTGGTTGGAATACTCAAGGAGCCTCATTTTCAGGTACCACCTTTTTACTGTGCATTACCTACTTACTGTATCACTGTCAACATATGAATCTAGGAATAATAATGAAACAAAACCTGAACTGTAGCAAACTTTAATATGTAGGATTTTACTCTGAATAAAAAGTAAAGCAGAAGCCATGTGGGGTTAAGAATGAGCGTGATTTTATTCTTTGGTCTCACCTCAAGAATATCTTCACTCATATTAAAATCCACTGGAGTTTCTGTTATAGATCTTGGACAAATATTCCTATATGACTGGAGTTTCCATAACAATTCCATAAAGACTTCATCCTTAGCATTTCCAGATGGTTTCAGTTCCTGATAATGACCATTCTGCATTTCGGTTCAGCTGTTGGCATTCATACTCACGTGTAAGATGTAGTTTGTGGAGTGAATGAATGTCATTCTTCTATGATGCGGTCTGCACTGCAGCTGAAGTTGAGACTCTGCATCCCTCTTCTGTTGCTTTACTTAACATAAGTGAAGTTTTGACATATGCTTGTCAAAGGCAGATGTTTTTCCATAGCTGCCATTCTATTACCAGCTTCCGTACTGACTGTTGAAGATTAGGGTTTGTAAATCCTTGGTAGATTCTGGACTTTGTAGGCAGGCTTTAGCTGACGTTAGCACTTAGCTATAGGTACCCTGTAGAAGAACATAAGCAAACCTTTTGCCACAGTATAAATGTGCTTCTTTTGGCAGTCAGGTATAGACCCATAGACATTTTTGGTGTATATGCATTTAAACACATGTTTTTCTGAATTTTCAGTTATACATTATACAAACATAGCAGTGAGGTGCATTACCATTTAACATAAATAAACACCGGAAATACTGTCAAGCTGTGTTGTGGCCTGCTGGAAGAGGGAACACTTTAAGAGCTCAGCTTTTGAGGTGGTAGCTATTCTGAGTGCTGACAGTTCCTCTGCCTGTTCTGAAGAGCAGTATGTTGGCCTCCCTTGTGCTCTTATTTGTCCAGAAGGGTATCATAGCTAAAGGATCGAAGACTATGATATTGAGGCTTACTGGTGAATAAACCTGCAAATTGGTCTTTGATCCCTTACTGGAAAACGAGAGGATGAGTTTGGAGGAATTGGTAGTTAAAATGCAAAAAGATTGGAACCTGGGGCCAAATGGTGCAGTGACAGACCTAACAAAGATCCATTGTGTTAGACTGAGAAACAAAGCTGACAAGTTGAAGAGGATTAATCAGAAGATGAAAAGGATTTAAGTGAAGTGCTGGAGTAGGCTGACTTTGAAAGGCACTGTAGCGTTGATCTCTGGAGAGAGATGGCAAAGACCAGAGACCAAGTGGGCAAAGAATCTTTGTGGTGGAGACTGGAAATGGCCTCTAGGAGACTGAGATCAAATAAGAATTTTAATTAAGATGAATAGCCAATACTAAGGCAAACCCGGCATTCATTCCTGTTCGGTGGTCATATTTAGAGAGAGGCACAACATGATGCTGGTGTCGGTTACTCCATTAGTTCAAGCTTAAGCAACTTACACATTTATTTTAAAAGTTCCAAAGGAGCTGGTGAACAAAAATGACTGGCCATCAGGCCAGTATGTATTGAAGAACCAGCTGGCACATGCAGTGCATAGAAAAGGCTATAGCAAGTCTTAGCAGACAGTAGCTGGAGAGCAGAAGACATGAGTGGTAAGAGAGTTTGCCTTGAGAGAAGATGGAGGAGCTGAAAAGTATCACCCTGTTGCAGTGGTTAAACGTGCAGAACAATCAATTCTGCTGCTTTTGGAAGAACTTGTTCAGTTACTTTCACCTTTCCAAGAATTATGCAAGCCATTCATCCTAAATAGATTCTGCTGGCAATAAAATACTTAATCTGAAAAGCAGCCACCATTTTATTCTAATAGCTTTAAAATGGCTAATCACACCTTTAAAATGTTTCATGTAGAAAAGTGATCTTAAGTTTCTTCCTAGACAGATCTTAATTTATAGGGTTATTTTTCCCACATATTCATGCTTCCTTACCAGCCCCCCCCCCCATTTCTCTAAGATCTTAAATGATTTCCTCACTTTTCTAGACCAGTCTTGAAAAATGTCTTCTTTTCACATGTACATTAGGGGCCTGTAGTCCATTTATTAAGTTCTAATATTTAAACAGTATTGTCAGGGAAGACGAGCACATATTTAGTGCATAAAAGAGGAATGGAAATATTTTAAGTACTTCTGAGGCCTTAAGTGTTAGGAAAGGAGTTGTGAATTCAGGACCATAGAGTTGTTCTGCTCTTGTGTATTTCCCCTCCCACCCCCCGCCCCCAGTTTGTAATTTAATTGTTTTATTGGATCACACTTGGGGGAGTAGTTATCATATAGGGCAGGGAATGCTTATGTAACATGTATAGATTGTGCTGAGAATTTTTTTAAGAAAAACAAATTTTGCATTTGAACTTGGCTTCAGCACTGTAGAGACCCTTGGATGTTTAATGTTTCTTTGTTTATTGAATTTTGAATTACTTTTAAAATTTATTTTTACCTGTTAAATAAGTACAGTCACAGAAAACTACTGTAAAGAAATCAATATGTTCTAAGTTTATGGATTACTTTATGACAGTATCTCGCACAAAAGGGCCATACTGCCTGCCACAGAACTGTATGTCCATTGCGCTATATCTCTTGTGATACAGAGTTCTTCTAAATGCCTTGTTCTGACAACATTGCCATTTTTATCATGAGAACCTTTCTACAGTTGTCCAGTCTTGGATAGTCAGCTGGTCCTGTTTAGACATGCTGTATGGAGGAAACTTTGAACCATTTTATGGTTGTTGATTATTCAGTCCATGTTGTCTTGCAGACTTTGGCAGTGGTTTTATGAGTGTTCCAGCACTAGTATGGGAAAGGTCAGATTCCAGGGGAGCTCTGGAGTTGCAGGAGGACAGGATATCACTTTTTCTGATACCATAAGAAAGAAACAAGTGAAGTTCATTCAACTGTATTTCTCAGATCACTCAACCATATTACTGAAATAAGACAGTAGCTGAGCGACATAAAATGTTGGAGAGTAGTCCGGTAGTGGATACAGACACATGGCCCCTGTTGCCAGGTGACTTCAAGTGTTCTTCAGGACTGTATGCTGTGACCTGGGTGGCTGGAAACAGTCTTGTAAAACTGGTATAGATTCTCGAGTTGCAGAACCAAGAGTTAGGTATGGGAAGGTAATAAGTTAACTATGGCTTGTTTTAAGGAAACCAATAAACTACATTTCTTAAAGAAATTATTTTATAATTGTGGGCAGCAATGTACAATCCCTGATAGTCACAGTTCTGTGACTCACTCGTCATGTAAATAGCAGGAAAAGGATTTTGTGATTGAGAGATGGTTAAGTAGTAGTTGAAAGAATTCATGCTTATCCATAAAACTGAGTGAATAAATAGGATCAGAACGTAGAATGGGATCAGATTTAAGAACTGAAGAATCTCACAGAGCATGTTAATTTGAAAAGGATGACACAGACTGTTAGCTTAGCAGACTTTTTTAACTGTGGATCAGATTATAATCCATAAATTATATGACTGTTAAGGGCAGGGAGCTGTACAAGCATGGTTATGTGTAAGGCTCCATGAGAAATCTAGTGGTTTGTAGCCAGAAAGTTTGTGAACAGTTTGTTCTAGCATGTGACCAAAAGAGAAAACTGGAAGTATCCTACTGGTGTATCTACCTAGTTTTGTCAGTGGTAATGTGTTAAAATGTGTAGTTGATGCTAGTTGGTTTCATTTTGGAAATGTAGAAAGATCCAAAAATGTTGCTTGCAAACATTGGCAGAGAGAGATCTGTTCTCCTAGTTTCTGGATTGGATGTGTCTTGGATAATGAAGAATTAGAAATTGCTACCATCTGACAGCTGCTTGATTTAAATAAATGATTGTTTTTCCTATTTAATTTGATTTGGTTTATGTCCACAATATGAGAGCAGCCACAATAAGCAGCTGTCTTTACAGTCTTAATGGCAGGGGCAGAATAGGTGAATTACTACCTCCTTCTAATCTCAAGCTGAAGTATCAGCAGAGTCATCATGTGATGAGCAGATTAAAATGACTGTTCAGGTTTGTGACACTTTGAGGGCTTGCGTGTTGAGCTTAGCACTAAACTAATATGGTTGCACAACTTTTAGGTTGGAGGTGGCTTACAGAAGGATGGACCAGAGTGCATAGCAAAATTCTTAAATTTGCTTAAATGTTGCCTGCTCACCTGATCTGCTTTCTAGGAGTTTGCTGTCTTCCTCTGGCATGTGCATGTCACTATCAGTGACAGTCCCTCTGGTGTCTTCTCTTTTTAGCTACTTATGCGACACCAGTCAGTGATCTGACTTAAGACTGTATCTCATCAGGTCACTGTTTGAAACAAAGCTATGCTGTTGTTGTTTGAGACCTAGTAGGCATCTCCTCTACTTGCTTCTTTTCCTTTCTCTGTCAGTGAGACTCTTTGTGCTATAGGATGCTTTATCTTGAACTACTATATATGGTGGCTATAGGGTGTCCCTTTTCCTCTTTAAGACAGAAAGTCTCCACTGTCTAATTTCACAAGTTTGATCTTGTTTCACCTGTATGTATTGTCTTATAAATCTTTTCTTTAAATCCTAAAGTATCTTTTATGAGAAAATCAAGTCTAAATTGCATTGTCTTCCAAAGATGATTATATTTATTTGGATCTCCTCCTTTTGCTTTGTATTTACGTATGTGGACTGGTGAAAACGCCATTAACTATGAGGTCTCAGCTGTTGTCTTCCAGAAAGTGAATTCTTTCAACTTGGATTCATTTGGTGCTAGAATCTTGCCTTGGCTTTATGCAAGCAGAAAGCACTCATTCTGTAGATTGCTAGAAATCTTTGCATACCTGTAATTATCCAAATTACTGTGGAGGAAAATTTTATTACATTAAACACGAGTATCTAATGATGAGTTATCTTCATTTTTGTGCAGTGGGTTGTTTGTTACTTTAACCATCTGCTGGGATACTGTCTCATTAGGTGAAAGACTATTTTAGGTACTCGTTTTTCTATATTCTTCCCTGCAAGATCACATATTCCTCCCAAATTCGTTACATTTCTCCTATATTTCCTTAAGAAGAAGCATTTGTATTTACAAAAGAGAGCATATTTACTAAGACAGTAGGCTTATCAGTCCATGTGAGTACTTCTATGTCAATTTTTGCTCCATTCCATGTGAAGTAAGAGTTTTATGATCTGGTCCCAAAAGGGCAGATTCAGTGGTTATTCAGCACTAAATCCTTTTGCAAATGGTTATTTCATGATTTAAAAAATGGCTTTTTCTGTTCCTTTGCAGTCACTCTTGGAAGCACATGATATTGTGGCTTCAAAATGTTACGATTCCCCTCCTTCTAGCCCAGAAGTCAATAATGCTTCAGTGAACAATCAGATTGTTCCAGTAGATGCTATTCGTATCCTTGGAATTCACAAAAGAGCAGGAGAACCACTGGTAAGTAATTGAAAATGAGTTTGTCTTTTATTTAAAGTACGAGTGAAAACATTTGCATGTGCCTGATTTCTTGCATTATGTTTCAGTTATTTCCATTATTAAGTTGTGTAATTTAATGGGTGATAGGATCAGTATTGAGAGGTTGAAATAAGATATTTGTGTGTTCTCCATCCTGTTCTCTCTAAGAAATTATTGGGATAGTGAATAGGCAGTCATTAGGCTGAATGACTTGCTAGCATAACTGACTAATACAACATCTGTTTGGTCCTGATACAAAACGACAGGATTGCGTGCAATCAAGAACAATACAGTCATTGTTCAGTCGTATGAAAACCTTGTCTGAAAGCACTTTTGTGTTACCTGACACTTATCACTGTATTAGAAACTCTTACACTGTAGTAACTATTACTGTATGTTTTCATTGGGGTATACAGAATATCCCATAGCTGTATATTTTTGCTTGAGATAATGGTAAAATGAAATTGAAATTCAAACAGTGGTAAACTAGATATCACATACCTCTTTCAGGGTGTTACATTTAGAGTTGAGAACAATGATCTGGTAATAGCACGAATTCTTCATGGCGGAATGATAGATCGACAAGGTCTTCTGCATGTAGGTGACATTATTAAAGAGGTGAATGGCCATGAGGTTGGAAACAATCCAAAAGAATTGCAGGAACTGCTGAAAAATATTAGTGGCAGTGTCACTCTGAAGATTCTCCCCAGCTACAGAGACACTGTTATTCCTCAACAGGTCAGTAGCACATTTCTAACAATTCTGTCAAAAGAACTTCTGCTTGGTACTTGATTGCATGAGATTATTTTAAGATTTTGGATTAGACATATTTTGATTATTTTGTGTATTTAATGCTAGCAGGAAGGCTAAAATGTAGATACCTGTATTCTCCTTTAAGTACATTTTGGAAATGGGTTTATTCAGTAGATTAATACCACACCTAATAAGCCTGCGTAAAAAAATATAATTAGTAATCTCAGATTGATAAGCATTTGTATACTACATATAAAGCATGTCTCTTTGACATCCAGTGACCTCTGATGACCTAGCCACAATCACACTAAACTGCGGTGAACTGCGTGTGTTTATAACACAACCAGTGTTCCAAGTAATCTGTTTCATAGAATTCAGAAACATACTGAATTCAACAGATGAGCTTGAATTCTGTGACTTAAGTAGAAACTCGGATGGTGGCTATTCCTTATCCTTTTGTTGTTGCTGTAGGCTGGTGATTTCTCTACTGCAGAAGTAACTTGTTGCTCTAAAGCAGTGCCTCTGAAACATCTTATGAGACACTCCTTCAGGTAGTGGGTCTTAATGCCCATGACTATAATAGACTATGCTTACATTGAGTAGATGCTGAGGGAATGTGCTGTATTTGAGGCAGGTGCACTGCTTCCTTTGCTCCCAACCTGGTAGAAAAAAGTCAAAGATGTTTCCAGTCCACTGATGCAACTTACTGTTTCTTCCTCTGCATCAAATTTGAGTCTTAAGCAGTCACATACCTTGTTTGTTTTAAAACTTTGAGTTCATAGCAAAATTCTTAAGATTCCACAAGCTTTGAATACAGTGCTCACATTCTGAGAATTTTTTGTATTTTTAAGTAATTTAAAGTCAGAATACTAATTGAATTGCATATGCTGAAATGCAAAAATGAGTGTTTTGTAATACATTGTCCAAATAGAATAGCTGTTTTTTTATTTTTATCATGAAGCTCCTTCAGCCAAGGTTTGCACTGCTGATTATTGTACTCTCTCAGGTGGTATATGCCAGTTATTTCCATAGATTGTATTTTACTTGCCAAATGCAACTTTGATCATGTCAAAATTCTTATGCTGTAGGTAAAGACATTACTTCAGTTTGACAGATAAATTAGTAAGAGTGTATTTTATAATGTTTAAGCTTTGTAAATTTTTACACATTTCAGGTTTTTGTGAAGTGTCATTTTGATTATAATCCATATAATGACAACCTCATCCCATGCAAAGAAGCAGGTTTGAAATTTTCTAAAGGAGAAATTCTTCAGATTGTAAACCGTGAAGATCCAAATTGGTGGCAGGTTGGTAAAAAGATTAAAAAAATAAAATAAAAACCTGAAAAGTTTCACTAATTGCCTTAATAATAAACTCTTTAAATTATGATCTACTCCCATTTAACAGTAGATATAAGAAAAAATATTTACACTGCAATCCAATTTCAAGCTAATATCAAGATATTAACAATTGAAATACTGGAGAAAATTGAATGGTATAAATTGTGTATGTAACACTCATTTTGCTATTACTGCTATTTATTTGTCTTTGTTCTTGTATCATAAGCCTAGACATTCCAATAACAGTTTAAGTGGACAGTTTCTAGGAGAAAGTCTTAGGTTGACTGTGTTAATTTTGGTAAGCCTTCCCTGACAGCGACTGTGGAAGAAGTGGACCCCTTCCTGAGTGCTCAGAGTTGAGGAGAGAGAGGGGGAAATTAACCCTGTGGATTTGAAGAGGGGTGAGAATAGCTATTTGGAGAAGCTGTATCTTTTATTTCTACAGTGGTGGTCAATGTCTGTGAGCTGTAACATGCATGTTCATAATCAAAGTGTTTGGCACTCTTTGAAATATTAACAGTTCATCCTGCTTTAAGGTTGTAGTTTTACATTCAGTCCTTCAGTAGAAATGTAATCCACTGCTTATGCTATTTTTATTTTTTCCAAAATGCTATACACACAATTAAATATCATCAGTGCCTTTGAAAGTGGGACGAGTAAACCTTTAAGACACTTTTCTCAGCCGAGATACTCAAAATTGCAAGTGGCAGTGGCAATCTAGGCAAAGAATTTAGCATTATTAATTTCCCTTTCTACCCCTAAATTGCTCACCCTTTGCTAGACAACAAGCAATAGTGAGCCAAACGTTACTTGAGAGCAATATATATATGTATATATGACTTCTTTAAAAGCAACAAAAATATTTGAATGTACATCAACAACTGTTGCTGAATTCTGTTGCTTTTCAGTGACAGTAGTAACAGAAAGAAAGAGAGTAGAAAGTGTGAGGGAAGGCAGAAAATTTATTACTGCGAAGTTAATTAGTTTCAGAAGTTAGATACTCCAAAACTCTGGACTAGTTTGACACTTAGCTTATATGCTGTCTTCTGTATTGCTTTTCAAATTCTCCAATTGTAACTTGTGGGGGTCCAGGAGAAATAAAACACTCCATCAGTGGCAAAAATGAAATGTGTTAAACAAGTATAGCGTGTTGCAAGTATTGCTATGCAGATCATGCCACTGGGAAAGAAAGTTATTTTTTTCCTTGTGCTTTCTAGAAATGCTAGAAAACTTGCTAACTGTAAAAAATCAGTTAGTCGGAGGTAAGAGCATAGAAGTTGAAAAGCAAACAGTTCCTGTTAGCAAGAGACAGGCCAACCAGTTAGGGAGAAGGAAAGTGTAACATTTTGTAACTGTGTGTTTGTATGTGTTAAGCTTGCTGAGAATTGAGCTTGCCATGAAATTATTTTATAGAGAATCTTAGCCAAACTTTCATTACTAGGTGTCATGGTTTAACCCCAGCCAGCAACTAAGCACCATGCAGCTGCTCACTAGGAATAGTTAAGTTACTAAGATTTTAAAATCTGTAGTCACTTAATGCAAAAAGCTTGAAGGCATGATTAGGCATGTGTTAATGGCATTCACTGTTTGTGAAATGACAGTTAATAAGCTGCGCTGTAACCTCTTTGGAGCAGCTCAAGAATACAAAATAAGTGTACTGTGTACTAGAAGGTCTTGATTTTTGTCACTTGAGAGGTCAATGTCTAGAACCATAGAACTCCATTTAGGCTTTTGATGCCAAAGGTTTATGGCTATAGGAGCTTACTAACTTAATGGGAACCAGTAATGAAACTTGCATCTATTTTATTTAAGTTTCCTGAATTTTAATACTCAATAGCAAGATGTTGTTACATAAGACAGAATTTTAATATCCACATCTAAGTTTGAATTTCCAAGTTTCAGTAGTAAATGTATCAACACTCACCATTGAGAAACTCTGGCAGTGTGAAAGTCAGTCAACACCATGTCGATGAGAAAATGCTTCTCACAAGTTACCTATGATGATTTTTTTTTTTTTTTCTTTTTTTTGCACCGCACCTAGGCTAGTCATGTCAAAGAAGGAGGAAGTGCAGGGCTTATTCCTAGCCAGTTTCTGGAAGAGAAGAGAAAGGCCTTTGTTAGGAGAGACTGGGACAACTCAGGTGAGATTTAATGAATTTCAGGAATAGATGTTGCTCTGACTCCACTTGTTTTGCTTTCCCTGCCTTCACAGATACTAGAAAACTGCTGTGTGAGAATACACAGAATATTGCAAAATGCTAATTATTATATTTTGGCTTTGACTGAAGGACAAAGGCTAAAGTCTATGCTTAGTCTTCATAGATACATGAATCAGTTTTGCCACATGCTGATGAAAAGCTAAATGAGGTGGGAAAGGCATAAGAATTAGCTCTTTTTTTTTAAATTACGTTTTTATAGTATGCACTGAAGGTTAATAAATTAATTCTGTTTGATGGATTTTTCTGCCGCTTTTTACAAAGCGTTCTAGAAAAATTAAGTTTTTCTCTGTGTTCAGTTCTTACTATACTGTTTGATGTGTATGAAAATAGATGTGATCTCCTGCCCTAGAATATATAAAATTCTAAAATAGTCCTTGTAAATTTAATTAATCTAAACTTGCATAAGTTCATGTAAATAAGCTTCAAAAAAACCCGTTTAACACAAATCATGAGTTGGTCTCAATATTTATTTCTAGGGCCTTTCTGCGGAACAATAAGCAGCAAAAAAAAGAAAAAGATGATGTATCTCACTACAAGAAATGCAGGTATCTCTTAATATTACATATGAGTCAAAGTTCTTTAGGCATCTAAACTTACAGAGTCTAGCGTATCTGAAGCTGAAAGATTTGCAGTAAAATATTTGATTATAAATTTGATAGATCAGACAGTTTTTGTGGTTTAAAAGCAATAGTGACCAGTGAAGATATGATCATGCTGAGTACATCTTTTGATATGTGGAAGTCAGAGAAGAACTATGTGTTAAAAAGAGGAAAAAAAATGAAAGCTTTGTTGCCAGCAGGTTGAGGGATGTGATCCTTCCCCTGTACTCAGCACTGGTGAGGCCACACCTGAAGTGTACTGGACTCCTTCCCAGTGCAAGAGAGGCATGGACATACGAATATGATGAAGGGACTGGAGCGTCTCTCCTATGAGGGAAGGCTGAAAGAGCTGGGAATGTTCAGCCTAGTGAAGAGACGACTCAGGGGGCATCTCATCAATGTGTCTAAATACCTGAAGGGAGGGTGCAAACAGGATGGATTCAGGGTCTTTTCAGAGGACCCCAGTGACAGAACCAGAGGCAACACACAACAACACAGGAGGTTCCCTTTCAACATCAGGAACACTTTTTCCACTGTGAGGGTGACTGAACACTGGCACAGTTTGCCCAGAGAGGTTGTGGAGTCCTCTTTCTTGGAGATAATTGAAAAGCTGTCTGGACATTGTCCTGGGCAACCCTCTCCAGGTGTCCCTGCTTGAGCATTGGCGTTGGACAAGATGCCCTCCAGAGGTACCTTCCAGCCTCAACCATGCAGTGATTCTGTGAAAGCTCACTAATTGTTAATCACAGTTTTCACATTCTGATCAATCTCGGATTTTCTCCTTGGAAGTAAATGTAGTAATCTGACCGTATGCTGCCCATGAAGGGGTAACTATTTTATTACCATACCAATTTAAAACAAGAAAGCTTGTATCAGACTTAATGCCCTTTGACTACTATTTATATTCACATGTGATCTGTTGATACATAGCAGGACTGCTTAATTTTTTTTCTTACAGTACTGACTGTGTATTAACTGTTGCATTTGTACATTTTTCAATGTAGAATTTGATCGTCATGAAATCCAGATCTATGAGGAAGTAGCCAAAATGCCTCCTTTTCAGAGGAAAACACTGGTCTTAATTGGGGCCCAAGGAGTGGGGCGAAGAAGTTTGAAGAACAGGTTTATAGTACTGAATCCCACTAGGTTTGGAACTACAGTGCCATGTAAGTTGTCAGCATTGTAATATCATACTTTGAGTCTCTGATTATCTGGAAAATACCTGATGTTTATCCCTGTGATTTGGGGTAGGAGTAATTTTGTCAGAGTATAAAAATTGCATAGAGTGGGAAAACAAAAGATTCTTCATCTTCTCAGACAACTGAACTAACATGTGATGACAGTGAAAATATTTGTAAGTAGCAGTTAAATGTTACTGATGCTGCAGAAAACCAATTTTTGTATGTGCAGTATTTCAGTCTGCTAGGTTTCTTCAGTGCCAGTCACCATCAGTTACTGAGGGGATTCTAGAAGTTCCTAGTAGTCTTCTCTAATGAACAGCCAGTGGAGTTTCTCAGGTCTGCTGTTTAGTTTTCCATCTGTAGAAGCACCCTAGGCATTATAAATTGTTACTTTAGTATGAGAAATGTAGGGAAAAGCAACAAACTTCCAATAAAACTAAAGTGTTTGTGATGTCCAAGATTTGTATGACAGTGAAATGGTTTAATACATCTAGCCTCAAGCCCATGATCTTTCTTTTTTTCTATCAACTTCAGAAAAAGACCCTCCTCCCTTACTGAACTATTGTTCTCTTGCCTTTCTTCCAGATAGTTACTTTGCTCATTCACAAGCTCTTTATTTTTTTTAACTGCCCCCTCCTGTTTGACTGCTGACCAGAGAAGTCCACCCTAGCTACATTACTATTCTCCTCCTGCCACCTGCTTCTTAGAATTTCAAAAACAGTGTCTTCCCTTCTATTTTCAGTAGGCAAGAAGTAGATCTGATAATAGATAGGGGAGGAGGGACAGGTGTGACAGATAAATTGTACAACACAAGAGAACCAGTCTCTCTCATTTGTTGAATCTCTTAACACCAAAACTGGCCAGGGCACTAAGAATTGGTATGTGTGACTGATAACAAGGTTGACTTCTCAGTGTTACTTTTTTAAAGAAATCTTCCCCTGGGAATCTCATTATTTTATATTGGCAAAATAGCAATAAACTTTTTATTACTTCTAAAATTCTTTATTCCCTCTTAAAAAAGCCCTCAAAATTACTGGTTTCTCTAAAATGCTATATAGATGCTTAAATATATTAAGTAATGCAACACAGTATTAAAATGCTTTTACTTGGAGCTCTTGAACACCCTTCAAAGGCATAAAAATTGACTTTTGCCACCTAGCAATCTGACAATCTAATCATGCACATGCAGTACATTGTTTATTGTATACAGAATCTCCTCTCTACTTTGTATTTAGATTGTAAGTAGGATAATCAGTAATCTTAGCTGGCCTCAGTTTCTTTGATTAGAAGAAGATTCTCCTGGTTATTCACAGCTGAATACATGTGGGGTTTTTTGGTTGGCTTTTTTTTTTTTTTAATGTCTGAAATCGATCCATTTTTCTATGGGGAGAAGCATGTCCTCGGTGTTAAGTTCTAATCTAGCAAATGGTGCTGTGTTTTTCCTTCAGTGTGGATAGCTGAACTGTTAAGTCATCTTCTGGCTGTAAACTGTTAAAGCTCGTTCTCCAAAATTTATTTCAAACTGATATGATTTTGGGGGTGGGGGGTATTATATTAACCATTATAGTTTCAATCTTTCTGTAGAATCTTGGCTAAAACTAGATGTTCTAGTAGTATGTTTATTGCTAACAGCTTCAGAAGATCATTTCTCCTGGGACTTGAGTTTCTATGATAAAGAAGTTGATAGGAATTACTGGAAGGGGGAGGATGTTTTCCACTTGTATCACCAAGTGGTGACAGGGCATGATACAGCTGTTGCCAAAGGGATCCATTTTCATTTTCTTGCTTAAATAATGTCTGTACTGTCCAGTATAGCCAATACCCAAGATAGCTGCGAATGTTTTACTTAAATGTTGGCTTTAATCTCTCTGCAGTGAATCTACCTTGCTTTAAAGGGTAAGTTGTCCTGGAAAGCAGCATTAGCTGGCCTCCACTAACATTCTGCTTATGGCAGCTGGGCTTCTTCTGATATTTAAGCTAACTTCCTTTATAGCTAGCTCAGGTAATTCTACCCTGAATAACAGGGCAAACACAGTGAGCAAAGTATGTGCTAAGGTTTGGGGGGTGGGGCAGGGCAGATGTTGGCGTGTGCTCAGTTATTTTCAGAAGTACATTTGGCATTTGAGAGTTAATTTCCATTTGATTTCCAAGTCACTTAAATAATTATTTTATTAAGTGAATAATTAAAAAGATGACATGAATGAGTATTGTATATGGTGTGAAGGAGTAGTACAAAGGAAATAAGCAAATGGGTGGGTCAGCAACATATAGGAAAGAATAGAAATAAAGGGAACAGGAGGGGCTGTGCTCAGTTTTGAAACTTACAGTAGAATAATTAATTAATCTGTATATGGAACAATTATAATTGTATATTAATGCGTATTATACTCTCCCTAACTTAATAGGCAGTCCAGTCTCATATTTGTATGCCAAATACAAAAAGGAAGCATTCAATTTTTATCTTAAATTTTTTGTTTAGTTACTTCACGAAAGCCAAGGGATGATGAAAAGGATGGGCAAGCATACAGATTTGTGTCACGGGCTGAAATGGAGATGGATATTAAAGCTGGCAGATATTTAGAGCATGGAGAATATGAAGGAAATCTTTATGGCACCAAAATTGATTCCATCCTTGAAGTTGTTCAGACAGGAAGGACCTGCATCTTGGACGTGAATCCACAGGTATATAATTTCTGATGTTAGACTACAAGTGTAGGAGCATGATTTTAAATTTTAAGGCTTCTTATCTGGTTTAAAGATTACAATATCAACTGGATTCTTACGTTTGTGGCACTTAGTTGGAATGAATTAGAAAGTCGGAAAAAAACCCACTTAGATTCCGTATGGAAGAGGAGTCTTGCAGAGAGTAAATAATCTTTTCAGCCAAGGAAAGAGTGATGTTGAGCATTTCAAGAGGCAGTGTAGGAGTTTGTAAAATAGAAATAAGAATCTTCAATTACGTGTTTCTGCCTATTGTAACAGACTAGTTTGCAGTGCCCCTTAAGTAATGGGGACATGTGATGAGTCATTCTCAAATGTAGGGTTTTTTGTTTTTTTTTCTTTTTCTTTGCTTCTAGGCCCTGAAAATACTGAGGACTTCAGAATTCATGCCCTATGTAGTGTTTATTGCTGCTCCAGAGTTGGAGACTTTGCGTGCCATGCACAAGGCTGTGGTAGATGCTGGAATTACAACCAAACTTCTCACTGTAAGCAGATTATTTCATGTTTAGCTTGCTTTGAACAGGATGTTCTTAGATTTTTTTTTTTTTTTTTTACCTTTCATTTTAGATGGAATTTGTTCTGAGATTAATGTCTCAAAGAAAAGTTAGGCAAGAGTTTTCCTGATTACTTAGTAGAAGTTAACCAAATACTATGTGTAAGGCAGATTGCTTCTTAAAAATAGACCTCTTACAGAGAAGTGCTGATTACAAAAATTACTTGTAATGTGTTCTTTGGGAAGTGTCACCTCTTGATTATTTGCAGCAAATGGTAGATATTTGATGGTGGGAATTGTTTGTTTATGTAAATGTCTTTCCTTCACTTTTCCCATCTCTCCCTCCAAAAAGTTTTGTTCAAGTTTGTCTTATAATATAGGTGTGCTTTAGAAATGCAGTCTCTAATCCTCAGGAAAGATATTGCAGCCTGCGTAAAAAAAAAACCAACGGACAACAGAATGCAAGTAGGCCTTGTTTCCACTACTGCAGCAGCACATGCTGCACTGAGAGTGGCTGGGAGCTGTGAGAATAAGAAGTGTAGAATAGCTTCTCTTCCCCTTAAGTTCCTTGGATTTGTCATGTAAAGCAAAAAGTGGCACATTTTATTCATTAGATCTTCTCTCCTTTTCTGAGACAGTGTGTAGCAGAGGGAAATGAGACATACTTCCTCCAGCACAACGAATTATAAATATTCTGTATGGGCATGAACTTTCCCAGCTGCAGGAGCAAAGCAAAAAAAGCCAGACTGAGCAGTTAAGGAAACTATCCTCTGTCTTCAGCAGGACAACTTTCCCATCTGAGAAAAGTCATGGTTTGCTGACAACTCACAACGACAGTGCTGCAGCTTAGATAGTAGCAATACCTTGTCTAATGCTGATGGGGCATTCAAAGCAATAAAATGGGGGGTGGGTTAATTTCCACTAAATGAATATGGGATTTTTAGTCATCTTTTTTTCTTTTCAAACCTGTGAGATCCCATTCTCTTAACCATGTGAGAGACTGTCCTGTCCTAGTCATGGATTCTGGTTATTATAGATTCTAGTATCTCTGTGGGTGCTCTGCCTTTCCTCCTCTCTGCCCTGAATGACCCTGAATTTTGTGGTGCATATACAAGAAGGCAAGGTTAAAACTGTCCAGACAAGTATAAAAATTATTTCCTGCACTTCCTAATATTTGATTCCCTAAGGGACATCCTTGCCTATGTTTTACTTGTCCTTATGAATAATAAAGAGAATAGTTACATTTAAAATATACATTTATGTATCTTTATGAATTCAAAATCATATCTGTGCACATGTATATAAAGGGTATGATTTCCCATTTCATATTCTTGTACTTCCTGAACAAATGAAAAACAAATACCATTTAAAATATTGTTCCGCTTGCTAGTGGGTCTGTCCACATTATTTCTAGCATCCTAAGCCACTCCACTGCAAAAATTCTGGCTCTTGTGATACGTTTGCTTGTCTCCTTCATTTACTGTGAAGGAAAGGCTACTCACAAACTTACTTTTTCATTTTGGCTTTTGTATTTACAACTGTATCAGGACTTGAAAATATTAACATAAATATTGTCAAGGGGACAAATCTTATAACCGCTTAGAAAAAAACTGCTTTTGTGCAAAAGCAGAGAGGGATTTTCTAAGAATGTAGGACTAATGAAACATAAAAAAATGCTCAGTGGCAGCACTTCATGAAGGCTTAATAATGTAGGAATACAAATTTCCTGCATATTTTGCAGCTTATGTCAGAACTAAAGTAATGCAGCAGTAGTTTATGAATGAGGAACTGATGTCAGCTGAGCAAGGCTGAAATGTAGCCTCTAAAAGCAATAAGGTATTCTAGAGCTTTATTCTACTAGAAATGTATCTTGCATTGTCTTTTATTTCATACTAATTTAAATTCCTGGATTTTTTTATGCCTTCTGTGGAAATAAAAAGGGCACAAATATATTTACATAACTGATTGACTCAGTCATTCCTAAAGCATTAATTTTATTCTGATTAGATTGTCAGTTGAACATACAAAATGATTAACTGCCTGTTGTGCATACCAGCCTAAGTTAATGTGCATCTATTGACTTTCTTAAAAATTGCAGGATTTGAAAACATTTAGTTGCCATATTTAACATTATTGGCACAGCTCCTAACTTTTTCAGCTCTTTCAATGCATTTTGGCTGAAGTTCTGTGTGGATTTACTATAAATGAAAACTCATTATTTTTTAAATATATTCGGTATATAGCTTTAAATAGTCAGTTGCAGTATGTAATGAAGGGATACTTCTTCTGTATTTATAAGGATTTGCCAAGTTTTATGTTCTTAGTAATCTTTAAATTCTCTTTAACAGGACACTGATTTGAAAAAAACAGTGGATGAAAGTGCACGGATCCAGAGAGCATACAACCACTATTTTGATCTGACCATTGTAAATGACAACCTAGACAAAGCCTTTGAGAAGCTACAGACTGCTATCGAGAGACTGAGGCTGGAACCACAGTGGGTCCCAATTAGCTGGGTATATTGAGATTTCTCAAGAGGAGCTTAAGTAACAAATAAAATCAACTGCAGCAAATATGCTAATGCGACGTTGTGTAGATACCGATGATAACCTATGGCACCTGTGCATTTTTACTCTGTATATTCAAAAGTACACTATTCTGAATTTTTATAAAAATGTCGAAGGGAAAGTGTACTTAAATATGTAATTTATTTTAATTTTTCTAACTTTTTACAGATAACCTTTCTATTCATATCACATGAAGGAAATGCGTTTAAGCATTTTTATATGTTTTGATTTAGTACCTTTGCCTTTTTCATCTAAGAAACTTTCAGTCATTTACTTCAACATTTACATCTTGGTCTTACATTTTCACTGTGATTAAAAAAAGGATACTTGAAACAATTTTTGTAAAACTTGTTTAACGTCAGTGTTTAACTGGTCAAAAGTCTATAGCTCTTATTAGGAAAGAACACTAATTTCTTTGGGGTTTTTTTCTTCCTTAAAAAAATAGTAATTTCATGGGAGCAGAATTTTAAATACTAAAAGCAGCAACCAACACACAGCTCCATTGCTGCAGCTTCTTTTGGCTTAATGTTGGTGCATTCTTGATGTTTCACAAATTCTTGATGTCTCTTGATTTAGACGACTGTTGTATAGGTTCCCTTATACGTGTCTCTTAAATAACGTAAAGCAATACTTTGCAAGCTGCTTATTAGGCGGTTCTTGGGAGCCAACCCGTTAGCCCATTATGGTTGAAATACTAACATTAGAAAGCTTGTACGCAAGGTAATTCAGTGCAATTTGAATAATGGTGAAGTAGCCTGAGAGAGAACCTGATAACGTGGAGCCTTGTAGAGTGACACTTAAGGTTTAGGACTATTTATTCACACTTGTGAAAACACATTGCTTTAAAAAAAAAAAAAAAAGGCATTTTCTTTTCTTAGGATATTGTTCAATATTTGTATAGTGATCTGTGGCTTAATTTCCTGTGATATCTAGCTGGGTTCTATATTATCTTTTTGAATATTTGTGTGTGATCAACTGCTGTATTTTTAGGAGTGTGATGTAATGGAATTTCTGTGCTTTTTGTTTGTTGCATTGTTTTTAGTTGTATTTTTCATTAGATAGCTTGTGAATTGGAAGCTTACTGCTAAAAAGCAATGTTGTTTATACCTTTTTGTTTTACAACATATTTCCTTTTGTTTAGTGACAGTTCTCCCCTTAGTAGGCTCATTGATATAATTTGTATTAGGTTCAAGTTAATTGATCAAAACTTATGCTGATGTAAATTTCTGCTTAACAAGAACAAAATGAAAATATAGCTTGTCACTAAGACTAGCTCTTTTTATGACCATATTTTATATTATAATGTCAGCTGTTGTATATAGTGACATTCACCATCACTTACCAGGTTAGGTGTCTAAACTGAAGTCATCTATTTGTTTAATTTCTCTTCCATCTGGTGACAGGCACCTGGCTTCTGAATTCTTTTTCAACACCAAAGTTTGACACAGAATGCTATCAAAAGGCAAGTTCCTCAGAAGTATTTCTGAAGGAAAAGAGGCTTAGACACTCTAAAACAGTATTGCATCCTGGGGCTCTTAAAGATTTTATGTGCACAAGGAAAAGGAAAATGGAGTTGGTGCAGTATAGGAAAAGTGTAAGTCTCAAAAAAACCCTCAAAACACCTGTATACTACAGATGATTTTTACAAAGCCTATAAAGTTGGTTGTTGTGGGGGAAAAGGGGCAGGGGGAGCTCGAGATCCCAGTGTATGTGGAAAATACTAGTTGAAACTGTGTATAGCACAGGTCATCTTTTGTGGCTCTTGAGATTTCAGTCTTTTAGAGGGAATCTGAAATTCTCAAAGGAAAATTTGTACCACTACTTTGGTTTATTGTTACACTTTCCAAGATGTGTTTTCTCTGGTTTTGTTTAATTTTGGCAGAGCTTTTAAATGTGGCACCAGCACAAGACTTTTATTTTCCTTTCCCAGGAGACATGTTCTGTGATCCTATTGCTCAGAGGCTGCTTTGAGAAATGGATCGTGTTGAATGTAGCAGCAGTGATAGCAGAGCCATTGCTTGACTATTTTAATGATTTGCTATTGGCACTATATGCTGAACGTGACTAAACTGTGTTTGTATACTGTGTAATAGGAGACCTACATATGCTGTAAATAAGATGTGCTATCTGGACAGATATGATGCCTTTTCATTATCAGTTAGAAAATACTCTATTTGTGATGCCAAAAGTGGGCCGAGCTCACTCTTCCCTAATGAATGGAATGAGAAGATTCTTCAGTTTCCACACCATAGTACTTTATATTGCAAATATCACTTATTTCCATCTTTTTTCCATAAATTTACTTAACCAAATGAAACACACGAAACATGGGCACCAAGGTTTAGTTAGGAAAACCTCTCTGCTCCTTCTATTTCCATCCCAGGGAGAATACTGTCCTCCCTAGTTAGCAATCCCCAAACAGCCATGTATTTGCTAAAGCCTAAAGCTTTAGTTTTTGCTACAGGTACACATAGCTTTTTTTAAATCAAGCAGTTAGTTAGCACAGTGGAGCCTAGTGGCTGACCATTTGGTGGTGTTAATGTAGATGCTAATGAAAGTACAATTCTGAAGCAGTAAGAGAAGATGGCTTGCTTAGGTTGCATGCAAAGATCACAGGTTTTAATTGGATGTCCACCTGCAGGTTGTAAGGGGGAAAAAAAAAACCCAAACCCAAACACCACACTCTTTGCATCTATTTGTTAAATCTTGAAAATTGAGAGTTCAGATTGGCAGGTCTATAATGGTGGGAGAGGAGAGGGGTTGTTTTGGTTTTTAGCAAAATCAGGTTTTCATCAGATATCCTGCTTAGTTTGTCACTACCTGGTAGGATGACTAGAATGAGAATGACCGTTACTTTTTTTTTAAAAAAAAGAGCATTCTTGGAGGTTCTTAGAATGATGGTGCCATTTCAGTTATATACACAGCAGTGAAAGTCTCTACCTGTCAGGGTATGCTAGATCAGATGTTAGATAAGAGACCTGTATATTGTGCAATTAGGGAAGAAAGACACTATGAAAGGCTAGTTTTGAGCAAGTGAAAATATTTCATGTAACAGCTGTTTGAAGTATTTTGGAGGAGTTAAAATAACTAGGATTTCATGTATATCATTCTGTACTAAACATTCATTTTCCAGATACTAACAGGAAAACTTTTTACTTTGACTGTTAATGATAACAATAGGTGTGTCTGAGCGAGGAGAAGATGCTGCTAAATGTTTAAGATATGTGGTATGTATCACAAGATAAATATTTAAGTAGTTTAGAAAAGTAAATTATCAAATAGTTGTCTGTGTATATGTATGTATGTGGATGGTAAAACAAAAAATGCTCACCTCTGCTATCACATTACTAAGCTACCATGACTTAATCCAGAAATGTGCATGTGAGACTTTAAACTGGTACACTTCTCTACCTGGTTTATTGTGTTTACTAATGTATATTTTTCTAAATATACAGATATTTCAATCTAAAAATTCTATATTTATCTGTAATTTCTATCTGTTTTGGACAGTGCATGAGGTGCTGTAAAATTCTGTACATATAGAGACTTATAGAAGAAACACTGTAGTTGCCCTGTGAATGAAAAGTTGTACATAAAAGTACAGTCAGTATGCCAAGACCCATAAGTTATTTCCTTAAATGCACCAAAAATTCCCTTAAGTGTGCACCAGTCTCAACATTCATGTAAATACTTTGGTGCATATGTACCCAAGTGATTACCTTGCTGTCTCTAAATGTTACACTAGCAGGTCTACTTTACGTTCTACATCATGTGAGAAGATGCAGTCAATTAAAAGTTTAGTGGGATAAATATAATGGGATATGTCATCTTGTGTAGATTTATAAAGGTCTTTCAAAATGTTCTGCAAATAGAAAATGAAGGTAAAATTGCAGCAGAATCGCAGACCGACATAGGCAAGGGAAATTGAATTTATAACCAATGCAGTATCCTTAACTTGTGCCGTGTTCTCAGATCAGTGCAGCTCTGTGTACTTGGTTGTACAAAAGCTTTGTGGACAAGGATGGAAGATCAGCTCATCACTTTTGAATTTGTGTTTATATAAACTGTCACATCTTGGATAGGCTCAAAATGTGACACGATTTTCCCAATCCTCTATCCTCATAACTCTAACTCACTGCATCTTCTAAAATCATACCTAAATGACTTGCTGTACAAATTGCCTGCAGCTCAGCGTTCAGGAAGTCATCTGGGTTCTGTTTTGTTTTGAAGAGGGTGATTCAGATAGGAAACTTTTTTCTCTTCGAAACACAGAAAATTCCTGGCTAGGTACCCTTTGGAGCCAAGCTTGCCTGTCTGCTATGCTTAAGGACCAGTGGAGAATGATCAAGTAGAGCACCACTCCAGAAATGGGGAGATGAGCTATAATTGTGAAGATAAACAAATTCAAACTTCCTTTACCTATTCCTTGGTTTCCCATCCAGGCTTCCTCTGTCTGGCTTCTTCATTCAGACTGAATGTTGAGGCAGATGCTGTTTCTCAGTTCATCTATAGTGCCTACGGCAGTCAGTCGATTCCCCCTCGCTCATTGCGCCTGTAGGTACAGCTTCAAGACAAACTACAGGTGGAGGTCTGTTGCATCCGTCATGCAAATGTGTATAGACTGTTTGCTTCATGCAGAGCTTCTTGGCTCACCCAAGTTCTGAAGAGTTGAAGTACCGTAGTGTTGTTGCCAAACTTCATACTACTTGTGCAAAAGTGGTGAGACCAATTTATTGATGCCTAGGTAGTGGTTATTGCATACAAAGACTTGTAGTCTCCTAGGCCTCTTGCCTTAAATACTACTGCAGCTGTCAGTCCCTCCCTACACAAAACCTCTCCTGGGCCATTAAAAGGATTTCTGTAGTTAAAGGCACTACCATTTGCTTTCTCTGGTGGACTGTCATGAAAGGTGGTGAAGTCCTGGCCTTTTTTTTTTTTTTTTTTTTTTTTCCCCTGGGTTTCTTTTTTTGGCCTACCCTTCTTGGTTTTCATGTGTGTTTAACGAGCTTACTGATGGGAATTGTCTGGGATTCTCAGCTTGTGTCCTGTAGAGGAAACAGTGGTCAACAGAAACATTGGTATATAAGACTGGTGTAACTTACTAGTTTTAGTCCCAAGAGAGATTTAAAAAAAAAAAAAACAAAACCAAAACAAAAAAGAGTGAAAACACTTGTAAAATAACCAATTTTCAGAGGCAGCTTTGGCTTCCAGACCTATGAAAGTACACTCATGCGCGCGCACGCGAGCACCCACACACATACACACACACAAAAATAAAACTTAGGGGTAATTCAGACAGTATCTGCTAATTTACCTGAATTCTCCATGCTGAGATACTATTCCACAAACTGTCACATTTTAAACTGCTGAATTCTCAGTTCATTTGCTGGTACTGCAGCTGGAATTTACCTGTACAGGCTTAAAAACAAACTCCAGCTTGGTGAAGGCTGTTAAGCAATTTCACCTCCAAATAGGACTTTTTTTTTCTTTCAGCAGGGTTTCAGCAATATATTTCTATTTTATAGGATAAATTACACTTGAAGTAAATGTGAATTTTGTTCTCAGTATTTTTAACCCTTTCTCGTGCTAGTTGGGTATGGAGTTCCTTTTGCTGCTAAGGCAGTGGTTGGTTGTGGAATACTTATTGACCAACCTGCAAGGCTAACACAGTTAAAGTAGTCCTGGAAACATTTTCTCCCATTTATCCTTTTCCTTTTAATGTCATTAGCTCCATGTTAATGTTGTCCCTGCAAGTTTGCCTGTCTTCACAGCTGATCCAGGTATTGCTTCCTAAGTAGTCAACCTTACCTAGAGTACAGTAAACCCTCTTCCAAAAACCCAAGTAACTTTTCTGTTATTTGATCTCTTACAGGATACATAGTGTACAGCAAAATGAATGGCACTGCTCTGTATTCTGGGGGTGGCAGCAAAATTGTTGGCTGCAAAACCAAATTTTTTCTGACTGATTTTTGTTGGTTTAGTTCTTTCTTGTACACAATTATATATGGTGATAACTGTTGAAATGTATTTCTCCCCCTTTGAAAATGCATGTGGAACATTCCTTCCCCTCCCTCATCATATATTGCCTGTGTGTAACATTCGTGTGCTGTGGTATAAGAAGGGGGACAGCTTCCTTAGGTTTTAAAGTACAAAAAAGTTTGCCGCTCTCCCACCCCAAACTGGGGTAAGAACTGTAAAATCTTGGTTAAGTGTTTGGATTTAAATGTGTATCAGAAGTCTGTCACCGTGCATTTCCTTACCTTGCTTCTCACAATTGTTTTTGCCTGTTGGAAGCTCTTGTGTTTGGTTTTTTTTTTCTTCTACAGCATATTAAATTAAACTGGATTTGACATTTGTAAAACTTTAAAAACTGCTCTTCTGTAAAAAAAAAAAAATACTTTCTTCAGCTGAAAACATCCTACAGGAAAAAAAAAAATCTTAACTATTAGCTAAACTTTCTAATGTAAACCTGCAATTGATTTAGTACCTAATTGTTTGAATACAATACTGTAGAGCAGGCCTAGGAGATGGGACTTGTTAGCATTCTGACTTCATACTGATAAAGTCAGCTAATACATAGGACATTTTTAAATTGCGAATTGTTTTCTAAAACCCCCCTTTTTCACAGCTAATATTTTCACAATAAACACAGCCAAACATAAAAATGTTAATGTACAAATTGTGAAATTCTGTTAATTCCCAACAAAATATTTTTGTATATAATAAAAATTTAATATTGAAAAAATGTAATTAGCTGTTTTCTGATTTTTTTTTTGTCATACTTTGAATTTTAGCTTCTTGATAGCTTATTTGGCTATCTGTGCACATCTGCCTTTTATCTTTACCTAATCCTTTACTGCTGAAAACTGGCTCCACATAACACACTGTTTCCTGCTAGTACACTGATGTGTTGGTGTGCTGGTACCAAATATTACACTGACCCACTTGTCTGCACAGATCGGGCTTTGCCCTGTGTGCTGCTTTGGTGTTGTGGCTTTTTTAAGTGTAGCAGGCTTCACAGGTACACGCGCACTCTTGTATAGCGTGTTTGGGTCTCATTTAGTGCTCAAAGTTCAGAAAAGCAACTTTTCACTTGGTCTTGGTTAGCTTGATATTCTTGAATGCACCAAATCCCCATTCAACATATAGAGCTCTCGGGGCCTCTTCAGTCATCCTATAAATGTCATCATTGCTGAATTTGGGGTCCTTATTTTCTGAGCACTGCGGCATTAAGGGAGTCATTCTCCTGGGCCTGCACTGTAGTTAGCCAGCATGCAAAAGCCTAAGGGACTCCGGCCTGCAGCTTGTATTAGGTGAGCGCTGGTTACTGACAGCAAGGCTGAGCCCGCTGCCCTCTGGAGCTCTTGCTTTGAAAAAGGCTGCGGACCTCGTCTTCCCTGGTCCTGATCTGATCCTGAATTGCAAAGTGCGGTTTCTTCCCCCTTCCTCCTGGGGAGTGTGGAAGTATAGCAAAGGGAAGCAACATTCTGAGGAGGGGTATCAGGGTGTGAAATCAAACCATTTATGAGACAAGCTCCAACCTTCTCTAAAGGGCCCTACAGCCCTTTTACCACCTCCGTTTTCTAGGGAAGACCCCATCTAACCTTGAAAAAGCATTTTCTGTACGAGACCAGCCTGTCACAGGAAATCGCTGTTTTATCTAAGATGTAGCGGATGCACATCCAGCTCTTCTGAAGTGGATTCTGAATTAATTTGGATCAGTGCAGCTTAGGCTGGGTCCCTGAAGAGGCTATCCTCATTTACCTTAGGGAAGGACAGGACAAGAGTTACTTGGAGAGAGACATATTGCTCCTGCTGTTCCCTCAGCTCTTCATATCCCCAGTCTGAGCTATTTTTCATATTAATGTGCGTAAGGATCCTCCTTTTAAGAGCATGGAAGAAGGAACTGGAGGGAAAGTGATGAACAGATAACCTGCCTTGGCGCATCTTTTTTCTGCCACTTGTGCTGCTCGCTCAGTTCTAAAAACACCACCCTAGGCTACCTGCTGGTTTAGAGGTGCTTCTGTGGTCACAGAAGCGCTGCCAAATGGAGGAAAGCTGGGAAACCCCTCCAAAAAGAGCACATAAAAGGACAAAGCGAAGACTGAAGTGCAACTGCTGCCTTCTGCAGACACTGATCAATCCTAAAAGTATGGCAGCAGATGAGGCGAGGAGCCAAGAGACCCAAGCAACCTTCACAACTAGCAGCAAGTCTGGGGTCTCTGGGGCACACCACTGCTTGCCCAAGCGTCTCTCATGTTGTGAGTCTGAGGCTGCCCTGCCTCCTGTTCCCCTGAGCAGAGGCCCTGGTGCTGCTGCCCCCGCCACCCCTCCCTGCCAGGCACCTGCCCCCTCCGTGGCTCCCCCACCTCAGGCCTGGGGCAGGGGCGCTAGTCCCGCGCAGGAGGTGGGGTATCACGCATCAGCGCAGCTCGCGGTGGTGGTGCCTCGTGCAACGTCTCCCCGAGTTCCCATCTGTCTAAGGGTCACAAGCAGCAGGACTCTGTAACACAGAGCACAGTGCCTTCACCCTCCTCAGCTGTAGTTACCGCCAGTCAAGTTGTGAGGCTGCTAGGCCTCCCCAGTACCATAAACACCGCCAGCCCCTCAGGTGCCCTCAGCTTGGCTCTGTCAGCAACCTTTATACTCCTCAGCCTCAACCTGTTCCGTGGATTTAGCTGAAGCAAAAGACTAATGTACATCTGAAAACAAAACAGCAGGAAACAAACAAAACTTTTTCTTTTTTTAATTATGTTTCTGTAGAACACCTAGCATTTAGGGTTGGGGTTTTTTTCCCCTCTTTAAACAAATCCCCTCTCCTACATATATGACACAGCATGCACACCCTGAAAGCAGTTATGCAATATAGTGCACATAAAGCTTACACTAAAACTCTGTGAGGAAGACCAGAGCACATGGACAGTGGCACTACATGGATGCCCACAGACCCACTTGCCATCTGTGTGCATCACCTTTCAAGGCCCAGGGCATGACTGGAATCCCAAAAAGAACAACAATGGAAATTACATGCATGAGGTTCTAAGTTATTCTATTGTTTTGACATACCATTTAATAGGAAGTTTTGATAAATTAGTTAGTTACAGAGGCAACTTTTGAGTAGTGATTGGCAAAAGAAGACTCTCCCATTTACAAACACGCATCACTCCCAGAAGCAGGGTAACATGCTTCCATCCTCCTAAAGGACATCTCCATATACACCAGCACAACGTTCAGGCAACGCCATCAGCTTCATTTAACAGATGAGATGCAGGAATGCCAACAGCTCAGCGTGCAAGGCTATCGTGCACTCTCAGAGTATGGAAAGGTACCGCCGTGCTTTTTTGCAAAGTCCACTTCCTCAGGGAAAGCTTAACTGACATGAGTTTTTAAAGACCTCTTGGACAATCTGCTCAAGACCATGTGGGAATATAGGAGAAGACTGAACCCAGGACTCCCACCCACTAGCTAACCTGCAGGGCCCGGTTACTGATTACACCCCTCACACACACACAGGTGCCTGATTACCATCACCCCCCCTTCCAGGTGCCTGCTGGTTTGTCTGTCAGCCATCTCACAATCTTATCTGAAAGCGCTGGTATTCCACTTACCTGGAACATCATCTTCCCAAGCCCCTATTTACAGTGATCTCTGCTGCGTTTCTGTCCCATCCACATGATTACAAAAAATTACGATAAAAAAAGGCAAAATAGTTCAAAGCACAAAGTGCTTTACTAACACTTTGCTGTTAGTGAAAGAAACAAGCCAAACATCTGCACTTAAAATGTCATATGGGTAAAACGATCATTTTTGTGGAGTACAGCAAGGACATTTCACGTGCACACGCCAAAAGGCCTCACCATACCTCAAAGAGAAGGTTCAGAATGCAATTTAAACAGCTGGAACTTGCTAAGGTGTGTAAAAACTGATTAGAAAACAGAAATGCTGTACAGAGGCATAAATCCCTAAGGTGGTCTTAGTTTTTGAAAAAGAGGTTTATTTATTTCCTGCAGTGTGCAGTTCACATCCATAAAGCCAAACTACACTTAATAAATTAAAACCTAATCTAGTACCTCTGAGAGTCCTCCATTCCACTTGCTCCAGAGTGAAGCCATTCTGCACATCAAGTCTTAAACGAGCAAAACATTTACTGCGTTGCAGAACCCTGGATTTCCACAGCCTGCTTGTTTGCTTGCTTACAAAAAGCAGTTTGTACTTCGCAGTTTTCTCCCACACATAATAATGCAAGCAATCAGGCTTCTACTGCCCTGCACATCTAACAACTACCAGAATAGCTATGTTTAATTTCTGTTACAGCCTTGTCTTTTTTAATTCCTCCCCTTCATCCCTTATTGATGTATTTTCCACTGCAGACATACACACCTTAGTGAAACTTCAGAGCAGCAGCACACCTGATGGCAGTGCAGAGTGCTCACCCCAGGCATGCAGAGTCCACCCTGACCTCCGTAACCCCTGGCTGGACTGCCATAAGTACTCAGCTGAGTGGCTCTGCTGCGAGCTCAAACACACCAACACTTCGCTGCAGAGCTACAGAAGAAAGAATAAGCTAGAGCAATAACTGGATACTCAACAAAGCTCCTATACATTCCCACCTAAAGCATAAAATCCGTACAATGCAACATAAAGAACAAGCGGGAAGAATCTAGGTTCTTTCATAGTTAGAGCTTTTACAGAAGACTCTGTCATTTCGAAATTAATGTTTGATGAAGCAAACAGCCTTTGCACGACATCAAATCTTCCTCTGTCAGTGAGAGTAGCCACCAAAGGACTGCTCAGCGCCACAGTGCCATTGGCTGAAGCGATGTTAGGCTGTATTTATGAGAGAGAGCAAAAGACAGAGACATTAAAAAGGTTTTCCAAGCAGTGCTGTTCCTGCCATCACATAGCTCAGTTCCTTCTTACAACACCACCAGAGAGCTTACAAGGCAGTGGCAAAAGGGCAAGATTCCCGTTACTATTAGCCTTGACAAGTACGATGTACTCATCCAGAACTCCACGGCCCCCTTTAAGGAGAAACATCTCTCCTACCGCATCCTTTCCTCCAGTCCAACTTCTCTCCTGCAGATCACACTAAACTCTCTTACTCTGAGCTTGCCCCTACGTATTTAAAGGTTTTTACTATTACTTTTGTCAGTGAGCTTAAAAAGCTTTAAAAAAGCCCTGTCCCATTCCTTCAGCAGTTTCAATGAATGGCCTCAGAATTCTGGAACTTCAGAATTTGCCAAGGCCCAAGCACTTCTGCTATCAAAGTGAAATTTCTGTTTCCCAAGGGCAGGTGATTACTGTTACTGAGGCTTTAAAATGAGCTAGTGAGACTATTAGTAAATTAAAATTTGAGCTTAAGTTACAATTTTCTTTTGCCCACAGCCCATGAAATCTCCCAAATACAGAAACATTTTAAAAGTTAGGTATCCACCCACAGTAAATTACCTGCATCATTTGCCACTGTCAGACTGTGACCTTGCCTAAGCAATGCCTACAGCTGAAATTTGCACTGGAGCTTGACATCTTCTTTATTGGATGAGAAACACAATAAGGCAGAGAACACAGTCATTACTACTGCTGGGGCCCACACGCTACACAGTCACATTTTGATTACTCACCAAACAACACAATGCTGGAACAACCTGAAGATCACAGCAGGCACGCAGCAGGGCAAGAGTGTAATCAGACAGCTCTGTAAAGGAAACATTAAAAGGGAAAGATCGTTTGCAGCGAACACTGCATGAGGCTGGCTGCTAGAAAGGGGACTTCTTTTAACAGTGAGCTTTGTTACGGGGTTCTGCTGAGCAAAGACAGACAAGCTGCTTTTTGAGGCCCATCTGCAGGTACAGTACCTCATGAAATGGACACTGGAGACCGAAGTGATTCAATGCTGAAGACAGCTGTCACAAGTGCTCTGCTAGATGTTTGGAAGAGGCTGATCCAGCCCTTTCCTGCCTGCTTCCCAGAGTGCAGAATAAAATGGGATAGGCAATGGGTACAAGCCCCACATTGACTATCCCTACCTTGAAAAAAGGCAGCTTGTAGGAAAGGGGATTTCCTCCCCATCATTCTCAGCTCCTCCCCAACTATCTCCCCAGTGTTTCACTCCGAGTCTGCAGGCTGGCTGAATGATTTAGGCCTTGAATAAAACAAGAACCTCTGCTCTCAAAATCTATACGACATGCTGACTTCAGCAAAAACACAATTTGAGAGCAATGACATAGCTGAGACTGCCTTGGGGCAGGGAGATGGACTAAATGATCCCTGTGGTACCCTTCAACTTTGTAACTCAAGGCTGTAATTCCTAATAGAAGCAACAGGCATAAAACAGCTTTTGATTCTTGATCCAGCTACATTTACGCCTGGACATTAGCAGTAGACTTTATGTCCAAAGCTAGGTGATAATGCACCACACTCAATTAACTGCACCCTGCTGTTAATAGCATCTGACAAGTGTTACCACATCAGCAGGTTTCTGTTTTCGATTTCTTTTCTGTCTCTGCAAATGAGTTAAGCTTTCCTACCTGGGTACTGTGTGTATATGGATGCACGCTGGCATTTTGCTGCACAGTGCCACATCTAACTAACACCACACTGCACTTCCCTTCGTTATCTTAATGTCAGGAAATTCTTTATATATAAGAGAGAGGAGGGAAAGCCAGGAAGGAGTCTGTCTTGGACTTTGCAGGTAGCTTTTAATTAACACTGTGGTGCCAACTAGATTATGAGCATGGCATTTGTTTGACATTTATGTTTAATCTCCTTTTTCAGCAGCTGCAAAACAACCCTCTAATTGCAGTGTCTCTATGTTAAATTCATTTTTGCTAAATGTAGTTTGCATCTCAACAATAAATGCTGTTACACTGAAGACAACACCTAATTTGTAATTCTCAGCATTTAGGCAGGAAGAACTCTGGTATGGAATAAGAACAGAGATTAGCTTGCCAAACTGGAAATGTCCACACTCAGCAGAAAGTAGAGTTGAGCAATCTTGGGGGAAAGTGTATTTTACAAGCAAAATCCGTCAGTGATTGAGGGCTGAATTTAATTCACAGCCAGGAATGTTAAGCATGGTATACGAAACCCATAAAAAGGAACAGAACAAATTATGCTCACTTGGCTCACCAACTGCTCAAAAAGAGCCATAAATGCTTTAGCATAGAAGGAGCTTCTAAAAGGAAAATTTAAAAAAGGGCTCTTTTCTTCATTCACAACATACCAGAGATAGCACTGATAAGGAGGTGAGCAGCTGAGAAGAGTTCTTCATCCTGAGGCTGATATTTCTGCAACAGCGGCTCACTCTGTAAACTGCACCCTAAGAGCTGCAAGAAATCAAGGAGGTCTTGTTGTTGTGCAGGTTTTAACTCCTTCAGATCTGGCTTGTCTCCTGTGCAGATATCATCTAACTGGAAGCAAAAGAGTAAGTAGAACTTCTTGAAAAGAGAAAAGTTCAAGCAAAAGAGAATGCTATCTCTATCCTGAAATTACTTTTAGGAAGCAAGCAAAAGTTTCTTCATCTTACCACATCCTCCAGGGCAGTTACCATTTCTTCATGGAGCAAGAGTTCACAAAGGGTTTTATATAAAGCTTTTTGCTTGTCTTCCGGCAGCTTCACAAAGGGCTGGAACCGAGTCTTCAGCTGTGACAGATCTTTCCCAAGAAAGCAGTAAAAAGTAAAACTAAGTATTTCTACACAAATGCCAGTAAAAACAGTTAGCATTTTTGCTATGTGTTTCATAAGCTCATTTATCACCACAACTTGACATCCTAATTACCATCAGCACAAGCTATAATGCAAGGCTGAAATACATCTGATTATATTTCCCAAATAAGCCAATGAAGCATCAATGAATATTCTAAGAAAGAAGAACAGCTACCAAGGATCAACGTTTGGTTTTCAGTATTTTTCATATTTTAGAAGTCAGTATTTTAACGTTAACTGAACTAACTATATATTAAGTTTCTCACTTGAAAGTTCATGACCAGAGAATGTTCATTTATAAGGCAGAAGAGTTCTGCTCATAACCTTACTTCTTAATATGTGGGTTAACAGGAATTACAAAGTCAATGGTATAAGTCCCCACATAGAATTAAAAGTTCCTATTGCAATGCTAAATTGTTATCGTCCTCGTATTTCATCAGGTGCATCAAAGAATTACATCCCTTCACCCCTGACCTTAAAAGACTTATTACAAAAATCAGTACAAAAATCTCTTCTTGACTGAAATACTGAATCCATTACAATACATACAACGGAAGCAGAAGACTGTTCACTACACTTCCTTCTCCACAATTCAACTATGACACTAAACCAAAGTGTTCTATGACATCAAATTACCACTTTGCTGAAAGAAAATAAGTTTTCAAGTCAATAATGCCAACTGGAAGGCTGGAATGTGTTTTTCCACATTCCAAAAATATGGGCATGCAAGCATTCTTAACCTTCTTTAAAAGAAATCTCCCTTCATGTCACTCTGGTCAAGAGACATGCTCTCTTTAAAGATGCCTTTTATATCTAAAAATTACTTCATTGGAAAAAAAGAAGCAGCCCAGCCACAGGCAGATTTTTTTTGTACCTAATGCAATCATATGACTGGCTATACAAATAACAGAAGAGGAAACCTACTTCAAATTGCTTTAGTAGAAACAATTTTATTTTTTTTTTTTCCCCAAGAGACAGTCCACGTTAATTAAAAGAAACCTCCAAGCCTTTTAAGTAAGAAAGGCACAAAAGCATGTCAAGCTAAAACAAAACCCAAAACAGTAGCATAACATTCTTTCACAAATAAGTGTTTTTTATATACACATGGAGACACGGTTATTCCTTTCAAACAAGTCTACATTGGAGAATGACAGAATTTATTTCAGGACAACAAATATCTATTTTGGTCACAGTTAGTCTACTGAACAGCCATCAACAAAGAGTGAAATTTAGAGATAACGAAAGTCATGTTCATTGTTAGAACAAGCTGTAGGAACTACCAAGAACTGATGAAAAGTGAAGTGTATTCTGAGGCCTTCATTTGTTTTCCTCTTTTTCATTCCTCTGGTGACAATCCTGCCCCTTCCTTCCACATCCCTACAATAAATAAGTTGCGCCTGGCTCATTATATCAATTTGCAAACTTCCATTTAAATCACATTTTAATTTTGTCAGCCTTAGTTGATACCAAAGACTTCTATAAAGCTTCTCAGAAAATAATGAGGCTAACTGAAGGCAGGGGAGATGTCTTTGTAATTTTTGAGACTTAAAATAACCTTTAACTGAGAAGCTTTACTGAGAGTATTTTCCTGATCATGAAAAAGTATTTTCAGTGACCCTTTCTGAATGAAACCATAGATCATCACTAACCTTATGGATTGTAACAGAACTGGCATAAAAACCTAATTTTGTAAGATCATTTTTATGACACAGGGATTCAGGACATTCCTAGGGAACAGTCCACCACATATAACAATTGCAGAAGTAAATTCTTCTATTCTTTCAGTGCATTCCCCTAAGAGTTCCTGATAAGGGCTATTAAAATGAACTAACATAATTTCTTATGTATTATTATACCAGATTATTTCCTCCTATCATGTTGCTTAACTCACTGTAATGTAATAATGTAAAGCATTTCTGGTAATACCTTGTTTCAGTACACTTAAAGAAGCATCACTGGGAATGAGGTTTTTAGCCCCAGAGTACATCTCATTATCAACAGCATCTGGCTGATAGAGAAACGAAGCATCTCTGATTAGTGCTGAGTGGGGATAAGTCGAGCCTTCTGTGCTTTCTTTTTCAAAACCTCCTTGCTGTTCATCTAGCAGACAGAATTCTGTAATAAGAAATTAAATTTTAAAAAAAATAATAAAGTACACAAGCAATTACCTAATAAGATGCTAGCTTATGTTATCTAGTGTTCTTGCATATGATTTCTCCGTGTCTCATCTCTTCTAGATGGAAAGAATGCCAATGGTTGCTCTGTATGTGAATTACTGAGCATTACTGCAGCCCTGATGTCTAGTACAGTGTTCACATACAAAGGTCCTGTGGTGCAGCTAGCAACTACAAAATGTGACACCAGCTCCTGTAAATTAAAAGTAATGCAGACAGCAAATACATTAAAACTTCTCACTGACACTGTAAACCTGAATGCTGCATACAAGAGAATCAGGTGTGAATTCTTCACGCTTTCTACCAATTAAGACATGTGCTGTAACGTGGGCTACAGGATCCACCCATGATGGAGACACATGAAAGCACTTTCTGAGATTTGTAAGAGCTCTAAGAGTCTCTCACAGAGCTTCTTCTGGTCCTGGCACTGATAGACTCCTCTTTCTCAGCCAAGCCACAGGTACACCCTCAAGTTCTCCAGATGAGTAGAAGATAGGAGGTTTTTCAAAGTCTCTAAAGGACTTCACCCAGCCATGTTCATTAACAGAATCACTCTACAGTATCTATCGCCTCTTTGCAATAACTTTATGGAGAAAATAACACACCCTTGCTGGATTACCCTTTCTGCCTCAATCTTCAGGACAAGCACCAGCCTACCTCACCCAAACAGGACTGTAGACTTCCTGCCACTCCAATCCCCCCAATTCGATGAAGCTAAGGGACTCATGGAAGGTACACAGTGAGCCTCTGTAAGAGTTACGCTGAGAAATCTGGAATATCAAGTTCTGTGCTCATGTGTCCAATATTGTGCCCCAAAGATGCAGAATATAATCGAAGCCCTAAGTATTATTTTCATCATCTTTTATTGGCTCAAACGCAATTATTTTCATCATCTTTTATTGGCTCAAACGCAAGATTTGAAACTGTACTCCTGGCACTGCAGCGGGTCTGAGGAGAATGCAGGAAGGCTAGCAAAAGGACCTCAATTTTAAAGTAATACCTGACAGCAAAGGGAAAAAAAAAATAACTAATCAAGCACAGTGCTCACATGTACCAGGCACAAAACCTAAATATAACCTTCCTGCAGTTGTGAGAGTCTGTCTCACCAAATTAAGGACATTCAAAGCAGATGAGAAAGCACGGAGAGCACTCCATCAGCAAAAAGCTTTTTCAAAGGGAGAGCAGACAAAGAAATCTCTGCCACAAAGACAGACAGATGACAGAGACCTTTACGCCTGCATAACCCTTCACAGAGAAGAGCGAGCTACAGAGGAGAAGAAAGTGATTAACACAAATTCAAGAACTTCCCAAAGCAAGAAGACTCCAGACAGCAGCTAAGGCACCAGAAGGCCAACACACTCACGTTACTTTCATTGGTAATAATGCTTTCACAGGAACCCTGAAGGAGGAAGATACTGCTAATAGACTATCTGCTCTCCTAAGGCAGAATGATGCTAATAAGGGAAATCAATATACAGCAAGTGTTTTCAAGTTTAAAGAGATACAGACCCTGCTGTTAAATCTTGTAACAGGACTCAATTCAGAGGAAAATACAGACCTCTGAAAGTTTTGTATTAATAGCACTATTAATTAATTTTGTATCTCATTACTTTTATCATACTCTTTAAAAAAAAAAGAGAAGGGAAAATAAGTGAATGAAAGTATATACATAATAGTGTCATATTTTCTCTATTGAATTCTATCACATCCATCGATGACAAACCTCCAATAGTGCAGTTAGATCTTGTTAGTTATTCAGAAACACTAACAAAAATGGAAGAAAACCAGAGATGATCAAGGAAAACAATCAAAGACAAAGAAACTCCTTTGCATGGAGAAGCTGAAAAGTTTGGGACTGTTTAATTTACAGATATTTAACAGGAAGCAAGTCACACATATATAGCAATGAACAGAACAAAGCAAATCAGCTGGGTGCTACTATACCTCCTGTTTTGTAAAGCAAGAAAAAGAGGACTCGCAGTGAAACTTTAGACACACAAAACTGCAAAGCCTTTAACAGGAACAGCTTCTAGATGTAGTGGAAAATTAGCCTGTAGAAATCAAACAGAATGATTACAAGAAAACATTATAGTAAAGGGATCAGAAAAGGATTAGACTTTTTTCTTTTTTTTTTTTATTTATAAAAATGTCCAAGCATGTCCAGTCACACTAGCCAGAACACTTTAAAGAAAGTTTATATATCTTTCTTCCTTACAGAATAACTCAAGCACTATCAGTGGCAAAGAAAAACAAAACAAAACAAAAAACTTACATGCACCCTATTCTGTAATTATCTGTGAAGAGAATCCCATTCTGTTACACCTGCTACTGGTCACTTTCAGTCTCATGTGAAAGAACTACATCGATTTCTGGATTTAACTTCAAAGGCTATTTTTATTTCCATAAACAGACACTGATCACTGCTCAGACATTAAGAAGCTGAAGGTTACGCTCCACCATACTTACTCTTGCTGGCAAATCCCTAATTTTGTTAGTTCCTCCACTTCATCTTCTCAATGACACACAGTGAAGATAGCACAAATTAAAAATAAGAGGCAAGACATAGGTTGTTTGAGATAAAACATGAAACAAGCTGTGCTGGTTTTGAAGCTTAAAAGACATTAAATATGAAAAAAAAAAGTGGAAGAAGAAGCAGAAGTGGAAAAAGCAGAGAAATACAGATCATTAACAAGACCCATGTATTATCAGCTAGCAGGACACACGAATTTCCATCTAGAAGTCACATAAGTAGGCTATCAGCTATACACCTCTGTAGTCAGACAGCCTTAATTGCACCTGCTTACTCTGAATTACAGTTCTGTTACGACCATGAAGTCAATGCCCTCTGCTATATCTCTGTGTTCAATCTACGTCAGAGCAATTCCACATTTCAGAAATTTTTTTACAGGTTACATGATATTTACTTATATTCCTGAACCTACAGTCTTCCTTAATATCAGAAGTGAGTTCAAGGAGAATGATGGAGAGTATCTTCTGCATTTCTTATCCAAATAAAGTGCATCCTGTATTCAAATCTCAACTGCACTTCAATTATTTCTTCAAGGTATCTCCTGTTTCTCTCCACATCAGTCCTTTCCAACTTCCAGCTCTATACAGTCCATCTGATTTCCTTCCTTCTTGCATAACATCCCCTGAAACCTCCTTTAGGTCAGAGAGTTTAACTGAGGACAGACAAAGAAAAACCCAAGTGATTCTGCAGAGCAGAGTTACTACTCCCCCCAAAGCCAATTTCAACATTTTTTTTAATTTGACACCTGAAAGTATTCAACCTGAAATAAGTAAAACGTGACCAGAAAACACGACAAAGACATTTCTGCAATCATTCTGAGAACAATCTCTACATGAAGTGTAAAATAGACAGAAAAAGTTTAAATTCCAGTCCTATACTTTATGAATAATTCTTTTCTTAGCATGACTGTTGTCTAAAGATTCCTGGTTGACCATTGATTTATATTCAGTTCACTCTCCCTGCCAATAGGTGAAGGCAACAGCACGGGCTGAGGGCCAGCTAGCTAGAAGCAAAATTGCAGAAAAAGACCTGGACAACAAATTCAAGAGATCAGCAGCATGTCCTTGCAGCTATTGAAGTTTGCTGCATGCTGGGCTGTACTGACAAGAGTGTAGCTAGCAGATCGATGAAAGTGATTTTTCAATTTGGGAGACTGGATTCAGAGTGCTGTGTCCAGTTTTGGACTCCCCAGTACAAGACAGACATTCACATACTGGAGCAATCTAGCAAACAGCCACCAAGATCGCTGGGGGCTGGAGAACATCATGTATGAGAAGAGGGTGAGAGACTGGGTTTGTCCAGCCTGGAGAAAATACTGCTAAGGGAGAACCATTCTGCTATCTACAACTACCCAATGGAAGCATGAAGAGAAGACAGAGCAAGACTCTTCTGTATGATGATAGGACAAAAGGCAAGATACACAAATTAAAGAAAGGGAAATTCTCATTAGATAGTAAGGAAAAAAAAAAGTTCACCATGATGGTAGTCAAACATGAGAACAGGCTGCCCAGAGAGGTGATGGAATCTCTGTCTCTGGAGATAATCAAAACTTGAATAGACAAGGATACAAGCAATCTGATCTAACTCTGAATTTAGATCAAACTTCAAAAGTTGGTCCTGCCCTGAGCTGGGGCTTGAGCTAGATGACCTCCTGTGGTCCCCTGAAACCTAAGTTATTCTGAGTTTATGATTTATTCAAACAAGTGAAAAAGCATTACTAAATCAGAAAAGCAGCATTTCACAGCACAAATAACTAACAGGGCAATGGAGACCATACAACATCATCACCTTCATACACAAGGAAATGCAAAAATCATTGCCCAACAGACACCTCTGTCCACAGTTGAACTGCGTGCCACAGAAAATGAGCTTTCTACTTACCAAACTGGCCACTCTGCTTTATAAACAGTTCAATTACACCGTAGGCAATAGTGGTTGCAGGAGGAATTTCAAGGATCACACTGGAATCCTTCATCATACTTCCAGTTTCACTCACTGAAACCTAGAGGACAGATTTATTCACTGTTTATCCAATTCAGATATTGTGTGGCTTAAACACAGAATTAATTAAGGGGAAAAAAATACAGAGAAAGAATGTGCTTTTTTCTCCATGATGTCCAAGTAAAGCACATGTTATGTTTGGCATCTATGAAAGTAACTAGATGACCAGCGAGGTAGAAGCTCAATGCCAAGGGGAGCTCTCAAACTCTTTGCTACCCTGTCCTAGTACAAAGTTGAGCTCAGGTGCAGCTTTTGCCACACATGAAACACTGTGTCACTAGGAAATGGGCACCCACTTCAGTATCCTGTCCTGCCCTCTTCTATCCTGACACCCCTTTTGCCCAGATGGAGACTGGTACCAGGAAGGCGGCACTTGCACAGGGAGTTGTTGAACAGCAACTCCCAGATTTCTGCTACTGGAGACACCCTGTACACAGAAGTGATTCATCTGCAGCTTTAAAAATAACAGAATGAATGAGCACATGTTCTGACTTTGGTAATTCCTTCTCAGTTCATAGGCAATATTTCAGATATCCTCATAATGCAGTTAATCTCTACTCCTATGATCGAAAACAAATAGCTTCTCAATAAATATTAAAACTCAGTAGACACTGCAAACATTTTTGATGAATGATTACTTGGCTTTTCAAATAAATTTGTTTCAGCAATGCTTTTTGCTCTTCCAACTTTCACTGAATTGTTATATGTTTGTTTTACGTTTTGCAGTAGGCAGGAATCTACACAGAAACTGAATCACAGTTTGACAGTATTGATAGAAACCACATTCCAGGCTCACGCTAAAAGTTGCCATCTTTTGCCAGTGAGGCAAAGGAAAAAACATTTTATCTTTTTGAAGTTTCACAACTAAGCAGTGCAGTGAGTTCAACATGTTAAGGAAGCATGAAAAATGCTCTGAAGTCTATTTGGAGAAATCATAATTTCTTCTCAGATAATCTGCAAATGTTCTATTCCTTGCAGATCTTTAATAACTTTTACCTTTACTATTTTTGTACTGCATCCCATCACACCACTGATTTTTTCTTCCGTCTGGATATGTTCAGATATCGTACACTTCTGAGTTGTTATTATCTTTTCTCTCAAGATGCACAGCACTTCACGTTTTCTTTCTATTACTTGTTGCAGTAAACTACTGTTTAGATTTATTGTTCTGAAAAAGAAAAGATGCTATTAACAACATAAATACTAGACTTGAGAAAAAATTTTCTTAATTGCTTGAAGAAGCTTTTATTGTAAACGTAACAATGGTTTCTGTATGAGCAATCTCCTCAACTATTATGTCCTCTTTTGTTATTTGGTAGCAGTAAATATCTGTATTCCCCAGTAAGTCCCAACACACATATTGAATTCTTGATTCCTTACTCTGAGCAAAAATGGCAGTTGTCTGGCTACTTTCTAAGCAAAAAATGCAAGGGAGAACTAAAGACAACTTTAAGCTTCCAGTGTAGTATGAAAACAACCAGCCAGGCTCACGGACACTGGACTGAATCCTCTGCTACTGTGAACCCACACTGATATTAACATGGCCATGGTAGGGAATGCTGGCTAACCATTCTCTTCAGAGTCTCACATTAGCACAAACAGTGCTGATAAGTCAATGGGTCACATCCTGTAGTCTTTACTCAAAATAATTATTTCAACCCCAAAAGCTACCAGGGAGTACAAACAAAGGACCTGCACTCATGGTCCATATTATGAACTCCCTGCAGCCTAGTATACTACTGCATACACTATGCACACACACACACACAATAAAAATACCCAGAATAGCATAATAAGCATGTAACATAATAGTATTGTCCACATATCACAGAGCTCTGCTTAGAAAGAGTGAAGTTGCAGTCAAGCTACTGGAGGTTAGGAAATCTATAGCAAGCAGTCTTCCAGTCTGGTTAGTTTCTCTCTTTGTAATGAAGCCCCACTTTTCCTTACAATAGCTCTCTTTTTTTCTCTCTTACTCGACCAACCAGGTCAAGTGCCATTTCTTCCCCTTCCTTCTCATTCATCTCAGCTTTCTCCCACTGCCAGGCAGCTCACCATCCCCACTTCATGTGATTTCTCTGCTATCTTCTACCCTCAGATGACACCAACTGTTGATGGCTCCCAGCCTTAGTCTCCCCTCCTTCTCACAGCTCATTGTTACCACTTTGCAGTTATCTGGCCAAACTCAGTCTCATTTATCTCCTTGTCACCATTCAGTCCTGTCACCCCTGTCTTCGTACATCCTTCTACATGTCACAGGTGTGCCATCAGGTGCTTCTTAACAGGGGAGGTGACGTGAGGCTCCTTCATGCCCAAGTGCTGATGTCCAGACTCACCTTGGACTAGGACAGCTTGAGGCAACCACCACTAGGAATGCTGGTTTGGCCTCCGAAGGCCCATGTGCAGGAAGGAGTGTCCTGACAAGCTGATGCCAAATTCTAAGTCACAAGAATTTCTCCTTGAGGGATGAACAGCACACTAAGAGAGTGACGCCTCAATGCCAACCCTCACAGCTTGCTAAGGATCTGTTTCAGTGTTCACTTAAACCCCGAACTGGCTGAGTGGGATCAGCACTGACCAAGTACTTCAAAGGGCTGGATGAGAAAACATAGAAAAGATTTCATGGATTTTGGGACTGAAGAAGATTACTGAACAAAACACCCACTATAAACTCCTGTGTTATTCATTGGTATAACCTCACAATTTATAATTAATGACGAGGACTGTCACAGTGAAAAGAAAAATTAGCTGTGGAAGGGACCTCAAATCTCTAGCCCATGCCTCCAACTTAACAAGTCATCCTTACTCCACAACATAAGTCACCATGCGTTTAAATGCTGCTGGAGATATTTCTAGTTAGGTTTTTCTTAGAATGAGCAGAAGAAAAAGTAAACTCCCAGAAACAATAAGAGAGGATTATTTCCTAAGAAAAGATGACAAAATTCACTACCTTGTCTTCTGGGGTGTTAAAAGACTTTCTGGTAACAGTTAAAGCAAATTCTTAACCATATTTAATTGACTAAAATGTGCCAATTGTACTTTTGCAAAATACTCACTGGAGGCCCTCAGATGAGATGTCGTATTTCCTATGAACAGATAACTAGCAAGACAGTTGGAAGATTAAAAGATTGCTATCCCTGGCTAAAGTTATTCAGTCTTTTCTCCTCCCTTTTACTGTAAATGGCTATTCATGGGGCTAAATGGCAATTCCCCAAAAGTATGACAGAAAGACATGTCTGACTCTGCTTTATTGAAATCGAGATATCACCACTTTTAATTAAAAAGTTTTAGATTTATTAGATTCTGGAGTTTCAGATTTATGCAGTCTGTATAAGTCTGAAGTCAGCTTGGTTCTTTATTAAATTAAAAATATCCTGAGGCAATTTTTGATCTTTGGAGAGTTACATGCTTATATGAAAGTTCAATCAGTTGGAATGCACTGTCTGAAATCTTAAAGTTGATTGTTTAAACAAGGGAAAGAAAATACCTCTGAAGCAATGCAGCAGTCACTAGAAAAGCACTCCCAAACATTCCTGAGTTTATTAATATAACTTTTTTCCTTTTGATGCAAAGCCATGCTGTATGCTTGGAATGCCATGAATCTTTGGATTAGGCAAAAATTGAAGAAATGTCAAGCAAGCACAAACACCACTGCTCTTAGAAGTGTCTGCCAAACCAGAGCTATTAGTTATCACAGTAACAGACCATCAAGCCTATCATATACTTCACAATAATTATTTATGATTCTGAAGAGGTGCGCTAAGCATCTTCAAAATACAAATTAATGCACTAAGAACTTGCAATTTTAAGATTCAACCTAAGAAGCCACAGGGGAAGACATACAATGAAGAAGCACAAAAGCAATTTGTCATTTGCTTTCATATGATGGGGTTTTTGCCTGCTTTAGAGGATGACAAACTCACTGGATATCCCCAAAAGTTTGAACAAAAGAAAAAAAAACAATCAAAGATAGAAAAATACAGATTAAACAGAGATTTGCTGTTTCTGAATGAACATTAACATAAGAAGCATACAGAATATAATTTAACTCTATACAAATGAATGACCAAAATAATTCAAGAGACCTTTTCTTCCATTTACTTCTACAGTATTCTGTCTGAGGTGGGACTGGCTCAGTCCCCCTCATGCTCCTAGCTTCAAGGTTTGGATGCAGAACTAACAGCAGAGTGGCAGAGCAAAAGAAGACATAAGGTGAACTTGGAAAGAGGCGTAGCAAGGAAATTTCTGAGGCAGTGCTGGATGAGCTGCTGCAGCACTAGAGGCTACACAGTGACACTAACACCCCAGGGGCACAGAGCTACCTGCTTCGGTCCCTGATGTAGTGCTCCTGCAGGCACTCTGTCTCGGAGGTAACTTGGGGTCCTCTGCACAGAGCTGCATTGTGTGGCACAGACACAGCCACTACCTCAGCCCCAAGATTCAAGTGACTTCAGTGGGATGTGTTCAACAGTAAAGCCAGCAGAAATGCTCTCCTCTTCCCACTAAGTTTAGTGAGCACTGGATTCAGAGCTTTAAAACATATACCCTTACCAACAGCTACAAATACCTTTCCTTTTAGGACAGCACAGTTAAATGCTCTCCTCCTCTACTCTTCTGACACTGACCTTTCTATCATAAAACCCCTTAAACTCTAGGGTTGTGTGTGGGCACATCACAAGTTATTACTGGGGCGCAGCCTGTGGAAGGCAAAACATTCTGCTCTTCTCAGGGACTCAGACAGGAGACAACATGAGATAAGCAAATACCCAGCTTATCTAAATTATCATTGAAAACAGTCATCGAGAGCAAAATGCAACAGGGTTAAAGTTTGACAATCAGAGCAGGGCTTAAAGTATTGCAGGGCAATGGCTGCTAAATCTATGAGTGTATTTTTGCAAGAGCTGAACTCATTTGCTAGTATAACACTCTGAATATCAAGAATATATCTGAATAACAAGAGATGGCTGAGTTAAATCCCTGAGAATACATGTATGCAGGCACACGAACTGCACTGCATTATTTTGTTTTACAGGTCACATTTCAGACCTTTTATTTCTGTTCTACAGCCATCACTCTTACCATCTCTTTCAGCATCTATTATACAGGAGCCCTCAGCAATCTTGTGTGACCTGTATCAGCATACTCCTTCCCACCTTGAGAAGCTGAGCTGAAGTACTCAAAACTAATACTATATAAAATACAATGAGATGTTGGTTTGCTAAGTCCCCTTATCAACACACAGAGTATGAGCCTATATAAATAAATATCATTCAAAAGATAAGGATTATGGAGTTTTGTTTGATTGTTTGTTCTGCTTAAATAACGTTCCTGAGGTCAATGATTTACTATGTTGGAAGCTCAATAGGTCAAGCATGAACAGAAAAGAATTTCTTTGAGTTTTGGTCTCACTCCCTCCACATTTAATTGGGTTAAACACTTCCAACTCTCCTATAATGCAAAGGCTTCCTTCACTTTTATTCAACCTTTTTCTTTTTGCATGAGGAAAGCAGTGGAGAACAGAGAGGCACACAGGCAATTTGCTGCAGACTGGAAGCAGAAAAGAAGGGCGGAAGGCAGAAATCAATTGAAGGCAAGAGAAGACTGACAACACCTGGCAATAGAGCAAGCTCTCACAGTTACAGTTAAAGGAGAAAGCAGGAGCCTCCTCTAAACACCGCAGCTGAGACTGAGGGTCTTTCCTTCAGGCACAGAATCTCTGACCAGACCGTCCACAAAGGAGGGGGACTAGGACCATGTTTCCATCAAATCCTGTTTAGTCTTCTCAGTAACCCACCTGGCAAATCCTCAAAGCAAGGTGCTTGCCAATTTACTACGAATACCAAAAAGAACGATCACTGCTGTGAGTACTCTCCATCCTCACATTGAAGTCGGCACTGTTGCCTGCCTGCAAAAAATTTCACTAGTCCAAACTACTCATGAGTGAAAAACCTTTACAGTCCTGCACTGGGCAATGCTCCCTCAACACACCTCCTCTCCCAGCTGTAGAGACATGGGTGGCCCACTCTCACACCCTCACCCAAATGCAACTTCATCCATAACATCCATATGACTGACTTCAAAACCTCTCTCACTGCTTAGCCAGAATTTCTCAGCTTGTTCAGTCTTCTCCATTTATAATGTACAATAGTCTGATGTCTTCCATACAAA